CTTTTGTATTTTAGAAACGGCTGGGATGAAGAAGGTGAGGTGAGGTGAGGTGAAATTGGGTTTTACGTCGTACTTGAGAATATTTCGCTCATATGACGACGTGCATGCGTGTGTATGTGTATGTGCGGCTACTTGTACTAGCCCAGACTGAAGCTGGTTTTATAGTGCTAGCCCACTGAGATACCATGCCGCAGTGAAGCATGAATACCCCACTCAGACACATTATACTGACTCCGAGCCGACCAGTCCTTGTTGTACCCATTAATGCCGAGCTCCAGGCAGGGACCAACAAGTACCATATTTTAACGTCTTTTGGTATGACGCGGTCGGGGATCGAACCCGCGACCTGCCGCTCTCCGGGCGGACGCTCTAACCGAAACGAATCATGAAGAATGTTGGGTTCGTCGGCAGGGTGGTAATGGGTATTGTTTAACTTAGTAACGATGACATTCTTGGTGTTGATAGTCGCAGAACATGTAGATACTGAACAAGTCAAATGGATTTACTGCTAGTGTTATGTCTCTGACTTTTCATCCGATACTTACAAGTAGGGGAACACGAACTTTCAATTTTGATAGGAAGTATAAGCTTTAACAAACTTTTCAAAGTCAGACATCTTATGCACGCACCACCATTTCTCTTTATCACTATATACTCGTGCATGGGGTGTCATTCTTGATTTTGACTGTTTTCAAGAAGGTCGATAAATCACTGTAGACCATTAATTTTGACAACCATCTTGCATCAGACCGTTGTTAGAGTTTGTTTCTAGTCGGTTTTATTTGTTTGAAAATGAAAATCGTACACATGCAAATTTCACGTCATACACCAATCATCTTTGAAGAGCTATTACTGTACAAACAACTATGGTCATAAGGAAGTGCAAGCGATGATGCACTCTCACAACATTCATTATTATCATACCAAAGTTGATAGACTCCGATATATCTCCCAACTGTTTCAATCGTAAATTAAAAATGAAGTTGCCCTACTATTATAAGAGCATATGTCCACAGCGGCGGGAAAAACGAAATTAGTGAAACGGACCTCGGAGTAATAATAATTATTCATGGCAGTGACAGATGGCAAAGGCTGGAAAATACAGACAGTTTTAGTGCAAATAATATAATATATCTGCATGTATCACAGATTGCTCAGCGTATTTTCTCTCCATTCCATTATGATGCACACATTTTGAATAGCGAGTGCAGATATTATACGATGGAAGATATTACTTATAACACTGAATGTATTTTCAGTGCATTAAACATATATCATCAGTCAAAGTTTTGGGTTCGGTTATGTTAATTTTGTTAGCAGTGACTTCCAATTCAATTTACGGATTACGACTGTATAGAATAATGAAAATATCGTAATATTTTAATAGTACGTCAGTACAGAGACGGTGGTTCAGCTGAACTAGACCCAGGCCCCGATTTCTCGAAACAAACTTAAGGGGCCTTAAATCTTCGGGGCCAGATGTGTCAAGTAAACGATCTGGGTACCGTTGTACTAAACAACCCCTGCGCTAAGAGTGAGTGAGTATGGGATTACGCCGCTTTTAGCAATATTCAAGCAATATCACATCGGGGGACACGAGAAATTTGCTTCACACTTTGTACCCATATGGGGAATCGAACCCGGATCTTTAGTTTGACGGACGGACGCTTTAACAACTAGGCTACCTCACAACCCCACAAAGTGCTAAGACAGCTTTCTCCGGCACAACAGTACCCTGATCGTTATAAGAACAACGACTATCATCGGGTCCATCCTGTTGCTGGACGGGTGGGTTCGATTCCCTACATGGGCACAATGTGTGAAGCCCATTTCTGGTGTCCCCAGAGGTGATATTGCTGTAACATTGCTAAAAGCGACGTTAAAACCGAGCTCATTCACTCACTTCTATAGCTGGATTTTCTTGCGAGTAATGGCAAAGGTTTCAAAACAAGATTGTTAACTTTCCACAGAGAAAATAATACTCTGTCATTGTAAACAGTCGATAACTATGCCAATGAAATTAGTTTTCACGTTGTCAGTTTTGTCTATTTTGGTCAAATAAGCATCCTGTCAAATAATGTACTAGAATTGATTTTTCAATATGTTCTCTTTTTGCGTTTATGGATATATAAAGTTATAACCCGTGGTGCACATTTCGCGTATATACGCTACATTTTGGGCGAAACATTTTGTAAACCTTTTTATAAAACACAGAGGGCCATGGGATGTGTTCAGGGCCTTGTTCAAGGCCTGCTCTACGTGTACATGGAAGAGGATACCTACCACACCCTTGGTGGGAATAATGTCTCATACATTACAGCCCAATCAATGTAATATCAACTGTTACAAATACAGGGCCCATAACTGGCTCGTCGCCCAACACGCCACATGTCGCTCTGCAGAGTTGCGCCCCTTGGATACGCCAGAAACTTATCTTCAGTTCGAATCCTGGTTTCGCACAGATCATGTTTCTAGGTTTGTCAGCACTATGTATGTGCCCTGGGTTTTAGCAAAGTTGGAAACGTATGAGACCAATGTCACTTAGGCTTTCCTCCCACGATAGTGAGTAAGTTTAGTTTCACGCCGCACTCAGCAATATTCCAGCTATATAGCGGCGGTGTGCAAATAATCCGAGTCTGGACCACACAATCCAGTGATCAACAACATGAGCATCTATCTAAGCAATTGGGATACGATGTCAGCGAGCCTGATCACCCGATCCCGTTAGTCGCCTCTTACGACAAGCATGGGTTGCTGAAGATCAGTTCTAACCCGGATCTTCACTGGTTTCCTCCCACGTTAAGCCGTAATGTAATTACAAGTTAGCTGTTAACCTCGATTCTTCAGAGAACTACATTGGACCAACGTCAGTTGCCACAGTTGTAACGTTCTATACACAACTGGAGCGTCTAGTCCAAATGACGTGTAGTTGGGATGACACCTGATGTCGTGCACAATGCCATCTGTGCATACGATTTTGCACCTTATAGGCGTGTACTCAACACCAGTTGCCTGATGCATCCCTTCCCACCTGTCACTCTGCAACTGATTTCTGACGAATTCGGCCTGTGCCCACTTACGACCCGTGAAGGTCCGGGTTAGAATGTGCCTTCAGTAACCTATGTTACTGGTCAGGGTGGTCAGGCTCGCTGACTCGGTTCCCAAATTGTGCAGATCGATGCTCATGCTGTTGATCACTGGATTGTCTGGTCCAGACTCGATTATTTACAGACCGCCGCCATATAGCTGGAATAGTGCAGAGTGCGGCGTAAAACTAAACTCAGTCACTGTGCCCACTTACACAAAGGGATCTTAGCGCTACGTACGACTATCGTAAGTGGACGTTAAATAATGGGAGTTGAAGTGTGCTCATTTGCAACATGCCTATGGCATGTTGTCACCCGCGTTGCAAAGTACATTTGTTACTTCCGAAATTATACATATGTCTGTTACAAAGTGTCTTTCAGCATTTGGTTCCAAGAAAACTATATGTCTGGTCACAACTGAGTCTGAACCACAGGGGTTCGAATCACTGTTTGGACAATAATTTTAAAAAATACAAATCTACATTTTTGCAACCATATATTGTTTATATGTTATGAGTAACTTATATGTAAAATCTGAACGAAATCAGTGAAGAAATGGATTTTTTAGAAAATTCTTCAGCTAAAATACACAAGGTGTATAAACCAATCTATGAAAGGGTTCTTGGTTAATGTTTTGTAGTCTATCTGCTGTCAATTATTCTAAAACTGTTGAACCTTCTGGACACATCCTGGGTCAGTTTCACAGTTTCCTGCCATGCCCAAGGGATGCAACTCTGAACAGCATATTTGGGAGCCGCGCCGAGCAATAAGTGGACAGCGGATATGTTGAATTAAATAGAAGTTGATAATAAATCTTGAGTAGATGGAAAACAGAATAAACTAATAGAACTACAAATACCTGCACAACTCCAACAGATATAAAAATCACTTTATTTTACAAAAGTATTTCTTATGAGATTTTCATAATGTACAAAATATAACGATAATTACAAACTGTAGTTATGTACAATGTTAAAAACAATCCTGTATAAAACAAGTCAGAAAACCTGTTTCGACCTAAAAGGAATGCATTTTCAAAATGCATTACAATTAAAAAGTTAAGTATGTGAAATCAACTTTTTTTATATCACTTGTAATTAACAAAAAGATTAGTTGTTGCAGCTATTACATAACATTCTGAGAATAGTCCTAAGACTGACTCTAAAAGCACCTAATGATATATCATTACTAGCAAGAACCTTAATAACATAGAATACTGTATTAATTAGAAATTAGTGTTACATGTTTTAGATATTTTTCTATCCAAATTGGGATTCGGTCTGAGATAAGTCTGCCTAAAAAAATACATCAGAAATAGCAAACTAGCACCTTACTGAAAAATTCTTCCAGTTATATTTAATGACTGGAACCTATCAGGTAAGCCACACATAAACATTTAATGCATTTACTTCCATTAATTTCTGACACATTAACAATATGATTTGTGGTTATGGTATGAACACACTATGTACACATGATATCTGGGTATAAAATATGATATTTACAGTTCTGGAATGAGAAATGTTGAATATTAACCCTGGGCAAGACTTTCACGACTGTTAGCAAATAACCATTTCAGGGCTCGATTCAGTGCTTTGTTACTTGCACTGGTGCAACCCAATATAACACAGTGCAACCTAGTTATGAGTCTAACTTGCACCAGGTGCAAGTCAATTTTTGAGTGGGTAAACTTCTGAATAAAACATCTAAATAATTCAATAGCATATTTCTGATATTACATATTGCAATAAAAACTGTGCAACTGGAATTTGACTGGTGCAACTAGGTTTTTATCTTAGGTTGCACCTGGAGAAGTGGGTTAACATCTCTTAAATCGAGCCCTGTATTACCAGTTTTTTTGTGTTCAGATCTGTCAGGACCAGTTACCAATTTACAAGAAACTTGCATTTAATGAAAAATAATAATATTTAGCACTCCACACATCTAACAGATTTTAAACCACATGGAGTTTATTTAGTGCTTATCATGCCATTCTTCTTGAGCAATAAATTGAATTCATTAATTACAATATAACATGGAATTCTTGCATACATGTATATTGTATTTCATCAATCTCTTCAAAAACCACTGATGAATGTTGTAGCAGTATTATGAAATTGTTAAAAAGTAAAAACTGAATATGTTCATAAAAATATGAACAAAACTGACCACATCTCCAATTTATGAAAAAGATTAATTTTGATTTGATGACTTCAGTACCTTTTAATAACATTTACATTCATTCTGTTCTAACTACTAGTAAGTGTAAACAGAGATTTACGTTGTTTTGGAGATTGGTATTAGATTCCAAAAGGTCCAAAGTTATTCTAGTGACACTATAACTTGAAAAACTGTACAACAGCAACTAATGCTGCAACAAACAGGAAGCTGGGGGAAACTGAGAAGGCTCGCGAGGGGTTCACACATGTATATTTTTGAAGGTTTTCTATCTGGGCAACAAAGTCTTCTCCCAGCCAGTCGAGATAGTTCTGTCTGTTGTCGGGGATCCTCATGAGACGCACAGCCGCATCCGTAAACATCAAGTCCGAGTACCATGTCCCAGAGTCAAACATGTGGAAGTCGCCATCACTGGAAATAAACAACAGAGCAGGTCAAATCAAACCTTATTTGACCTTAAGATATGTATGTTGTATAATGCCACACTCAGCCTTAAAGTGAGTGAGGTTTTTTTATGCAGCTTTTAGCAATGTTCCAGCAATATCATGGCAGAGGATACCAGAAATGGGCTTCACACAATGTACCCATTTGGGGAATCGACCTAGGCCTTCAGTGTGACGAGAGAACACTTTAACCACTGGGCTACCCACCCCCCCATCAGCTATAGAATGGTATGTGTAATTATCAAGTCAGGACAAGCCAAACCAGTGACTGATATAATGAGTAACCTATGCATTTGTTGGTTGTTTCACGCTGCACTCAGCAATATGGCGGCAGTCTTTAAATAATCAAGTCTGGACCAGACAATCCAGTGATCAACATCAAGAGCATCAATCTATGCAGTTGGGATACGATGACATGTGTCAACCAAGTCAGCGAGTCTGACCACCCATGAATCTTCTCTTATGACAAGAATGGGTTCCTGAAGACCAATTCTTACCCAAATCTTCAAGAGGGCCGTCTGTTTCTGTTCCTTCAGAAACACTATGCCATATATGAACCATGTGAAGGTTTTAAGCCACAGACAGCACTTTCACAGCACATTCATGGTGGCATGTAAATTATTCTGGCCACACAAATCAGTGGTTGATATCACGAGCAGCATCTCACACCAGTGAGGAACAATGACAAGATATCAAATGAACTCATTAAACATTAACTTACATGTCCGAAGAGAAGAACTGTTGTCCGTAGTTGACCAAATTCCAGAAAATCTCACGCTCTTGTGCACTCTTGAATTCTGTAAAGTCAAATAAACATGTTAGTTATCATTATGAAGCAACAAACCAGTTTTTCAAATAAATTCCCTGATGTCATGAATAATCGTAGTAATGACAAGATTAGATTGACTACTTAAGACTTAAACAACATAAACTTGCTTCACATGACTTCAGATAATCTGTTATATCAAGACCTCTCAGTATTTGATATGGCTACAGTTATCCCATGAAGGCTTAGTATAAATATAATTTTGATAAAAACAAACAGTTCCTTTTAAATTGAAATGGACCCTCAGTGAGATAGGACATTCAACCTGAACCTGAGGAAGTCTAGACTTGCTTCATTTAGAGCTTAAACATTGCACAAAGGGCTGGGCTGAAGGGAAAATAATGTGGTTCAGAGACTGTGAGACAGACTGCGTTTGCACATACAAGTTGAGTCTTTTTAACTGCTAGCTAATCCTTCCTGACAACACACTTACTGGAAGTGACAATAGCATTGGCTGGGACAACCCCAAGATGGCACTCGCTGAACTTGTCTATGTTGACTCGTCTTCCATCTTTACACAACAGTTCATAGTCATCCGACCGACGGTTCCTTGCCCACTTGGCATGGTTACGTCCATCGGTGTTGTCTCGCACGGTCAAGTGTCGTACAAACGACACATCACCACCACCTGGAGAAAGCAGAAAGATATTTGGTGGACGTATACTGAAAGGTTTGAAAACAATAACAGTTACTGTTCACTGCAAAAATTATATGGGATCCTAGAAGTCCAGACAAGTTTTCGTGATGAGGATCATTTCACTATCGAATCACATCTGATTCAAGTGTTCTCTGACAAATATATCTACACAAGTTCTCTTAGACAATTAGTCCCAGTAATTAAGTTGTCTTACCTAAATATAGAAATAAAATATTTATCAACACAACAAATTCAAATTGAGCCCAGGCAATCTCGACTTGCCAAATCACTTACAAACTTCTATTCAATTTAATCAATATCACTAATATCTGGAAGACAGACTGGAGTCTGCTTGACAAGTGTGATATACTTGATACCTCTTGCAACCACTATGGGTTGCTAGGGACGAATTCTAAACTGAAATCTTCACAGGCTTGCCTCTTGCAACCACTATGGGTTGCTAGGGACCTATTCTAACCTGGACATCTCCTGGGTCCACCTCTTGCAACCACTATGGGTTGCTAGGGACCTATTCTAACCTGGACATCTCCTGGGTCCACCTCTTAGAACCACTATGGGTTGCTAGGGACCTATTTTAACCTGGAAATCTCCTGGGTCCACCTCTTGCAACCACTATGGGTTGCTAGGGACCTATTCTAACCTGGACATCTCCTGGGTCCACCTCTTAGAACCACTATCGGGTTGCTAGGGACCTATTCTAACCTGGACATCTCCTGGGTCCACCTCTTACAACCACTATGGGTTGCTAGGGACCTATTCTAACCTGGACATCTCCTGGGTCCACCTCTTGCAACCACTATGGGTTGCTAGGGACCTATTCTAACCTGGACATCTCTTGGGTCCACCTCTTAGAACCACTATGGGTTGCTAGGGACCTATTCTAACCTGGACATCTCCTGGGTCCACCTCTTAGAACCACTACGGGTTGCTAGGGACCTATTTAAACCTGGAAATCTCCTGGGTCCACCTCTTGCAACCACTATGGGTTGCTAGGTCAGGGGTGGAAATAACCCATTCCCGACGTCCGAGTCCAGTGTTTTTTTTCTGTCGGGCAAGCAAATATCTTTATCACACTGTACCGTTGTCCAGTTGACTTTCCAATGTTAATTATGTTGTTTATAGTGGAAAAATTATCATGGCAAGTGATTTTACATGTGCCACTGTTCCAGACTACACTAGCAATTTTAAAGTTATTTCCACCCCTGTAGGGACCTACTTTAACCTGGAAATCTCCTGGGTCCACCTTTTGCAACTAGCATAGGTTGCGAGGGACCTGTGCTAATATAGAACCCCCACCAAATTTTGTTACAGTATGAAGAAGAGGAAAATTGAGCTCACGTTCAACAAGACATCTGAAGGCACCGCTGGCTCCGTAATACTGCTCCTCACTGTTCCGCTGACATTTCCTGTAGCCCCCTCCGGCACATCCCTCGCACAGGCTGATGGGAGTTTGTTTGGGGTTGTACTCCTTGTCCAGGGCCCCTGGGATGCAGCTCCGCACAAACAGCTGGCCTGAAATATCATTGGATAGTCAATGTTTGGTACTGCTGTCAGCGATATCTAGCCTATATCATGGTACCTTGCAATGGTGAGGCTGAAAAAAAAACCTCCACAAAACACAACAAAATTTACAACTTTCGTCAACTTTCTTGAAAGATATGATATTTTCATAGATTGTCAGGGCTACAGATAAGGGGCGTACAGGCATAATGTACGCCTCAAAATCAATTAAGTACGACACAATAAAAGATTTCAAGCGTATCGTGTACACACATAAATACCTTGTACGTCTAACATAAAATTTCCGTGCGTATCGTGCAAATGGAAAAAAATTATTTCGGATAAATACTTGTCAAGAGTTTCTTTGCGAAACACGATTTGACACATAAGGAAACCCCGACATAAGGAATCCCTTGCGTTGCCATGCAACGATATGCGTCAATATTTTTCGAGTGGCTAAAAACTACACTGTTCCTATTTATATCCAGTCGGACCTGACATTTCGCGCATCACACAGTCGCTCAGTTGTTTCTCACGCGTCTTCAAATACAAATACATGGTTGGAAATAGTGATCGATGAATCGTCCAGACAAACCACATCAACTCGCTCACACAAAAACATGTCAGTACTCCTTCAAAATTCTCAGTACACCTCCACTTGCAATATGATGTGAAAGTACACTCACACACCCAAAAGTTATCTGGAGCCCTAGATTGTGCACTAATGTGATTGGTGTGACGGACCCTAATATGTCCTATTTTATGGTAGATTATCCTTCACGTACCAATATTCTCAAACATGGTACAGTCACTTGGAATGAACTGCTCTGTCTCGATGTAGATGTTGAGGGGAATGATCCATCCATCACCACGCCCTATGCCAGGTTGACATGCTCGCTTGCCTACAAGTTAATATACAGTCATATTGAAAAACACCACTAATTATATAATATATAAAATGTAAAAATGTAAACAACTATAGAGACAGTGAAACTGACCAAGAAAAGCCAATGAAAAGGAGAAGAAAAAAATGGCCACAAAATCATTGAATGTGTGATGTAATGAAACTGGCAATGTACTAAGAATATCCATGAAAAATGACAAAAGTCATCAATATCCCTCGTTTAAATGCTTCTAGGAAATAGATGATACTCATCTTCGTTTAAAGTTCTTTTTCATCATCAATTATCAAGACACCAGTTCATAAGTTTACATTACTATGTGGCAAGTTTGGGTGACAAAAGATTGTGAAGGTTTGAAGACCTCTGTAATTGGGAACTACTCCCATTTTCAGTCCAAGTCAAAACTGCTGCCATGGAAACTTGGAAAATCCCAAACTATCAAAAGGCACCAGTTAACCACTAAAACTATCTCGGGTCTAAGGTTGGTAAAGTAATAATGTATGTTTTTCACGATCAGCTCCAGTATCAATAACATCTTGCATGGATATACTGGCATTTCCATTTTAATATACTCCATAAAATGTGTTGTGGGTGACAGAAAGCACCCTTTTCACAATATGTGTGTACATATGTTAATCAATATATACAACACTCTTGTCAAGTGCAGTTACCACAGACATACAGTGTTCAACAATTTTGCACCACACATTGAGAGAAGCTCTCATAAAATATTCCCACCTTTCATATTGAAGAGCGTTGTGATCTTGTCCGTTTTCCTTGCTGCAGCAACCACCTTGAAACTCATGGACATATCGCCATAGTCCTCTGCCGCAATGGGGATCAGGTTAAAACGTCTGAGGGGAGACAAGTCAAACCAAATATCAATATACAGATGGCAAGTCAGGATCGAAGTCTTGGCAAAAATGGTTAAAAAATAGAGTATCAATCGGTCGTTTGAGGGAGTGTGTATGGTTTTACGCCACTTTTAGCAATATTTCAGCAAATTTCACAGCGAAGGAGACCAGAAATGGGCTTAACACATTGTACCAACGAATCAACTTGGGCCTTCTGCATGACAAGCAAACGCTTTAACCACTAGGCTACCCAACAGTCATCGTTATAAAATGGCTACTCAACATTATCCCAGGTCAGCAGCCTCTTGTAAGTTGTAAAGGTATGAAAGAATTTGTATTTTGTTGCCAGCTTCCGCGCAACAACTAACCTGCCAGCAATGTAGATGTCTCCAGCATCTAGATTCATGAGGTCAGCGTCTCCCTTGGCGATCATATCCATGCACTGAGTTGTGTTGGTGCCCAGTAGACAGTCGATCTCAGGTTTCAGGTCTTTGGCCTTGAATGCCATGATCATAGACTCACACTTGATCTTCTCAGCGATTGAAATGACGCACCAGCGTGCTATGTCAAGTGGGCAGCGCTGCATCTTGTTCAACACATCGTTAAATTCAGGGCCTGCAGAATTGAAAATTTCCTCTCAGATCAACTATCCAAACTGAAGCATAGCAAAGGCATACAATATGTAACCATGGTAACTGAGTCAGAGCAATGCTGCAGATCTGTAAAACTGAACCCAGGCCTGCCATGTGACGAATCACTCCGAGTGAGTGAGCGACGTTTAGTTTTACGCCACACTTAGCAATATTCCAGCTATATGGTGGCGGTCTGTAAATAATCGAGTCTGGACCAGACAATCCAGTGATCAACAGCATGAGCATCAATCTAGGGAATTGGGAACTGATGACATGTGTCCACCAAGTCAGTGAGCCTGACCACCTGATCCCGTTAGTCGCCTCTTACAACAAGCATGGGTTACTGACGATCAATATTCTAACCTGGACTTTCACAGGTCCGGATGACTCTGAATGATCCAGATTCTGGATTACACTGAAATCATTCCTCAGTCTGTGGTCCTCAAACATACTTACCAACCCACTCATAGTAACTGGCATCAATGTCCTCTATCCTCTTGGTGGTGTCCGAAAACATCAGGTTCTTTCTTAAGTAAAGTCCGTCTTTGGCATCGTAACTCTTCTTAGATTCAAAGATCTGGAATTTGTCGTAATATGTCCCGCCCACTTTGAACCAGTCCACAGCCTGAAGGATGAATCTCTTGAAGCTGTTGACCACCTCCTGCTCCCGCACAGCAGACGTCATTATGATGTGGGAAGGAATAACTCCCCAGTTACATTCTGCAAAGTCAGTCACTGGGCGCTTGGTATTATCAGGACACAGCAGACGGAAGGTCTGTAACATAGCAATAAACAGATGCATTCTGGGAAACATTTGCTGCTAAAAATGGATCACTTGTGTTTGTTGTTTAAAGCAGCACTCAGCAATATTCCAGCTATATGGCAGTGTTCTGAAAATAATAGAGTCTGGACCAGACAATCCAGTGACTGATATCATGAGCATCAATCTACACATTTGGATTATGACGATATGTGTCAACCAAGTCAGTGAGTCTGACCACCCGATCCTATTAGTTGCCTCTTTCGACAAGCATGGGTTGCTGAAGAACAATTCTAACCCGGATCTTCACAGGTAGGTAAAACTTGTGACATACCACTTTTTTTCTCTCAATTGAATGCATGGGCACAAATTTCTTTCTACCCCCAGTGTTTAATCCGAAAGATAATAATAGGGTGCATAGAAACTACTGGGCATGTGAGACCCAAGCATATACATTCACTAGACCCAAGCATCCCTGGCCCCACAAGACAGGTCATGCTGCGAGACACTTACATCAGGGGTGAACTGAGATCCCTCCAGTGATGTCATCATCTCGACAGTGTCGTGGCGGAGGAAGGTGAGGTCACCTCGTCCGCTGGCCATACAGTTGTAGGCTCCATCAAACCCAGCTGAAGGATCACTGGTGGTGCATCTCTCCTCTCCTGCGCCATTGCAGGACTCACACACAGACGTGGGGTTGTTGCCTGGAGACAGCGAGAGTTGCTACATAGTTACTACAGCCACTAGTTACTACCTATATTATACTCACTACATAGTAAATACATAGTTATTACTTATTTACATACTTTATGACTTAGTTACTGCATAGTTATTACATAGTTACTACAGACTTAACAGCCATTCATAACTGCTCATGTCATTCCGGCAAGCCGGATGGCGTCTCGTACCCCTGTGGTGGCCATGTGCAAACAGGCACGGAGATGAAAATAGTCTAGGCCTATTTCAAAGGAAAGATAACTCTGAATTTCCAAACATGGCTACTCCTAGAAATTTATAACACAACAAGAAAGTCACTTAAAAGTATGTCTCTTATGTCATTAACAAATATCAGTAAGATAATTTTATAATCACGAAAATAATAATAAAAGTCGATAATCGCAAAGAAACTATTTGACCTCATTTCGCATTACTCGTGATTTGATTGGTTTGCCAAGATTCTTGGCAATAATGGCGTACTATACAGGTACGACTCTTCTTGTAGGTCATGGAAACAGGCAAGTAGTTATGAATGAGTTAACAGCCATGCTAGAATCAAACGCTGTTAATTCCAACAATGAGATGGTCTTAGGTAACAAATCAAACGGAGACAGAGAAGCATGGGATTCAGTGGCATCTGATTGGCTAAACAAAGCCTGTTTTTCATAAAAATGCCCACTAATACTGTTTCCTGACTGGTTGAAAATAGACTGGGCAAAGTTTGTCTTGAATTACTAAATTGAACAATGTCAATAATTTCATACTGTCATCTAAGAGCAATCTGTGATACTGTGTTCGTTTCCTCATTTTAAATTTTTAGTGAGTGAGTGAGTTGGGTTTTATGCAGCTTTTGACAATATTCCAGCAATATCTCTGCTGGGGACACCAGAAATGGGCTTCACCCATTGTACCCATGGGGAATCGAAACCCGTTTTTGGTGTGACGTGCGAATGCCTTTTCCACTGGGCTACCCCACCACCCCTTAATCTAAATGAATTGACTTCAGCATGTTTTGCATATATGGAGTTATAAACAAAACAACTACTGTGCACACTTTGCATAAACACAGTTACACAACACAGACATTTGACAGTTATCTGTTGGATGTTCTTAGAATATACTGCCAAATTCTTAAAACAGTCAAATTGTACCCCCTGCTACCACTGCAATGCAAGAAAACTCACCGAAAGGGTTGTAGAATGAAGTGAGAGCTCCAGGCAAACACATTCTGTTGAAGAAGCTGGTTAACGGATTTCACAACAGCATTACACTCTTCTACGGGGATCAGGTTCCTGTCCAACAGCTCAGCGATGGGATACAAATAGCCGGCACTCGTTCCAATACCTTTAACAGAATTAGGATCAAACGTAATATCAGTTTTTCACTATTCAAAAGAGATGATGCAATGATGACACCAGAAATGGGCTTTAGACAGTGTACCCATGTCGGGAATCGAACCCGGGTCTTCGGCGTGACGAGTGAACGCTTTAACCACAAGGCTACCCCATCACCCCAAGACAACAAGAAAGTCAAAAACAAATTGTATACTGGTTTACATCTACAGATCAAATTATTTTGTGATTACCTGGAAAGCAGATATTTTTCTTGCGCAAAGCATTCAGGTCAACAGGCCTATCCTGCCGAAACACTGCCACAGCGTAGTAGTTCGGTTTGTCCTTCACAACTGTAACACACAACAATACATGGGTGACTGACTCTAGCTAAACGGTCCTCAGCAGTATTTCAGTTATATCCACAGTCAGCTTGACTCAGGATCTGTCTGTATAGTATGTTCCATCAAGAAAAAATATTCTCAATTTCTACATATTTGGTTGGTTGGTTGTTTAAGTCCGCACTCAGCAATATTCCAGCTATATGGTGGTGGTCTGTAAAGACAATCCAGTGATCAACAGCATGAGCATCGACCTACACAATTGGGTTACGATGATATGTGTCAACCAAGTCAGCAAGCCTGACCATCCGATCCAGTTAGTTGCATCTTACGACAAGCATGTGTTCCTGAAGAACAGTTCTTACCCGATCTTCACGGGTTATATCTGGAGGTCTGCTCAGGAACAGAGCACTAAATTTGTTTTCATTAAACTCTATCTTGTCAGAATGAAACTATATAAAACTGACTGACTGAGTTTGGTTTTACGCCGCTTTCAGCAATATTCCAGCAACATCAAGGGGGGGGGACACCAGAAATGGGCTTCACACATTGTGCCCATGTGGGGATTCGACTCCAGGTCTTGGTGGCTTCACACATTGTGCTACCATGGGGATTAGAACCCAGGTTCGGCGTGGTTCGAGGGCAACGCTTTAACCATTAGGAACCCTTGCCCTGGCACAATTATATAAAAACAAATACAAAACATAGCAAGACACCAAGAAGAATTATTCAAAGTTTTAGGAATTTCTGTTTATTCTTTATCATCATTATCCTGACAATATCTTAAAAATAATCTAACTGAAACTTTCAATAACCAGAAACTCACCATCTTCATAGTTTTCTGCCAGTATTGGCATCATGTTGTGATATCTGCCAGAGTAGTAACCTTGACCTGAATCCAAGGTCATCAGGTCAGCTTGGTCATTTTCTATCTTCTTCATGCATTCAAACCTGTAAACATGGTAAAACAAATGTTCAGTTGTAAATAAATCATCTTGTAAAATCTTCAGTTAAACAAAAGGAAAAAACATGATTGGAAACTGTAACCAAGAGAAGAGTGAGTGAGTATGGTTTTATGCTGCATTTAGCAATATTCCAGCAATATCACGGTTGAGGACACCAGAAATGGGCTCCAAACATTGTGCCCGTGTGGGGAATCGAGTCTGGGTCTTTGGCGGGACGAGTGAACGATTTAACCACTGGGCTACCCTACCGGTCTCCGTGGGTAATAACCACTGGGCTACCCCACTGTTGTGATCAGGCAGGACACCCTGAGGTGGATGTTGAATGCTACTTACAGAGCTCCAGATAAGATTTAGCTCATGTGGGTACTGTACCCACTGTATTTTTGGGGAGTGGGTATTATGAATGTTGAGTGGGTATTTCATTTTCCGTTACCCACTGCTTTCAAATATGTGAGTATTTCAGTCATTTTACTCACCTAAGTATTATGTCATTGAGTAAGTTTACTAAGCAGGTATGTTCTGCCTTATGTCATACCTACTCAAAACCAACTTAAATATAATGGAAATGATTTCATAAAAATCACTCATCCTATACTGACAGTACAACACTTGTCCTATACTAACAGTACAACTTGATAGCAATCGATGTCTTTTTCATTACGGAAGCGATTTTTATAAATATATTCCGTTCGCATTTGTTTTAAACTTTTTTCGTATCTAACATTTTAAATGCGTAATTGGTATGCAAACAAGTATTTTTCAATGCGCAAATGGAAATTATCTATGCGTATTTTACCCGGATACGCAGCTTATCTGGGCCTCTGTACTTACACGTCCACACTTCGGACACATGTGAATGTAGAAGGTATGACTTCACGCCCCACAACACTGGCGTCGTATCTGAAAGTTTCTAACACTTTCTGCAGCTCCAGGCATTTCGCCTCTTCATCGTCGCTCACAACACACCACCTGGTGGCTGAAACAAGAACAAACACAAGCTTCAATGAGTGGGCTGAGAGGTTTTACATCCCTAGAGTGAGTGAGTTTAGTTTTAGGCTGCACTCAACAATATTCCAGCTTTATGGCAGCTGTCTGTAAATAATCGAGTCTGGACCAGACAATCCAGTGATCAACAGCATGAGCATCGATCTATGCAGTTGGGAGTACGATGACATGTGTCAACCAAGACAGCAAGCCTGACCACCCGATCCTGTTAGTTGCCTCCTATGAGAAGTATGGGTTACTGAAGATCAGTTCTATCCCGGATGTTCACGGGTCTACATCCCTAGAGGGTTGATCATTGAGATGGATAGGTGCAGCATCTTGGGGACAAATGTAAAGGTGAACGACATGGTTTATACTCACCTGAAACTAAAACTATATTTGTAACAGAAAACGACACAACCACTACCTGTACCACCCTTTAGCAGAGCATTGCAACATGTTCAGTCAAGATTCTGTGAGACACTAAGCAACAGCTGAAAACATCCATCCCTAAATTCTGAATGAAGCTGACATGTGAACAATTTGAGTTGAAGTAGAAGTTCCCCGTTTTCCTCTACCCATGCACACTGGAGACCAGCAGACAAACCCAGGATCAACATCTTGATCTCAACCAGGAGATCCTGGCATGGATAAGGGACACAACTCCGCACAGTGAATTCAAGACACATTTGAGTGAGTGAGTTTAGTCTTATGTCGCTTTTAGCAATATTCCAGCAATATCACAGAGGGGGACACCAGAAATGGGCTTCACACATTGTAAACTTGTACCCATATGGGGAATTGAACCTGGGTCCTCAACGTGATGAGTGAATGCTTTAACCACTGGGCTACCCCACTGCCCCTAGTTCACAATGAGGCAACAATACAATGATTAATCACATGACCATACTCAAAGTTGACTTTAAACAACAGAAAAAGATTCCAGCCCAAAACACAACAACCAGTGACTGTGTCAGAAGCTGAATACATGTCAAAAGAAATAAGTTATTACAGTGTGTGTACACAGCAATTATATATATGACATATGTATACTAGATTCTGTTTTCTTGAGAAATCATCTCTCATTCTTTATGCACTGGCACTTTTCTTGTATTGTGTAGATATGTTTATAAATAAAGAAGAAAGAAAATTTATATTAAGATTACTATAATTACCCAGCAGAAATTTAAGACTATGTGGCTAAAAGTTCCTGCTCCGTGAAAAGTCATAACCTGGCAACTAGCAATAGGGGTGGGGAAGGACTGACTGACTGAGTTTGGTTTTACGCCACTTTTAGCAATATTCCAGCAACATCACAGTGGGGGACACCAGATATGGGCTTCACACATTGTACCCATGTGGGGATTCGAACCCGGGTCTTCGGGACGAGCCAACGCTTTAACCACTAGGGCTACCCCACCGCCTGGTGGGGAAGGAGACGGGGGTACGTGGGATGAGTAGGGTCCGGGTGGGTGGGAAAGATGATGGTGGAAGGGATGAGGTGTAACCAAGGACAGGTAACAGGGAGATTAACCTTGTCAACAAAAACTAAAACATAAAAAAAATATAATTAAATTCTAGCTGTGTCATCGCCCGTTGAGCATGTTTATTATCTACCGATAGATTTGTCTACAGGTTTACTGTTTAGCATTTGTGTCATTTAATATTTTGAATAAAAGTATCATGAAAATATGACAGCGTTCACACACGTATTAACTAAGGAAGTGAAACCTTGAATTAAGCATGACTCATTTACACAAACTAAATCAGATCATAAGGTTAATTATCCTATTTTACAAAAGTTCCAGACTTAAATCTTGCAAACTTTCAAGGAGCTAAAACAGCTTTCTGTGTTTGGTTGGAAATATTTTTGGGGCTAAACATCCCTTTTGATGTAATGTGCACATTACTAGAGAACTGAACCTCAATCCATTTAGTGTCCAGCTGTTGACAAAAACATGAACAAACGTCTGTAATACAGGCAATGAAAAGTTGTCTTCTTACCAATGTTACAATGGTATACTAAACAAGAATGACCAATGAGCTCATTGTTATAGCATTATCCCACATATATCTCCATTCTGTCACCAATATTAGGTTTAATGTCATGGACTAATCAACTCCCACGGCCTTGTCTTCGCTCTGATTCTGATCTGTGATTGTGAAGATCACTGTCTGTGTTCAACATGTTCAAATTACCAGTATCATGTTCATGAAGGAGAAAATCAAAGGGAGGTAACTGACCAGAGCGGTGGAGTGAGTGAGTGGTTTCACGCTGCTTTTAGCAATATTCCAGCTATATGGCGAAGGACATAAAAAATGGGCTTCACACCTTGTACTCATGTGGTGAATTGAACCCAGCTCTTCAGCATGACGAGCGAATGCTTTAACCACTAGGCTATCCCAACCGCTTCTCCAGAGAGGTGGACTGACTGAGTATGGTTTTACGCCGTTTTTAGCAATATTCCAGCAATATCACGCCGGGGGACACCAGAAATGGGCTTCACAAATTGTACTCATGTGGGGAATCGAACCCGGCCTTCGCGGACGAGAACAGCTTTTAACCAATTAGCTTAACCACTAGGCTACCCCACCACCCCTCCAGAGGTGGAAGTAGTGTTACTTATATGATTGTTTGGTCGGTTGTTCAAAATTTCAGCAATATTCCAGCTATGTATGTGGTAAATAATCAAGTCTGGACTAAACTGACTGACAATTTTTTTACCAGCAATATTCCATATGGCGGGGGACACCAGAAATGGGCTATTACTGTAATGTGGGAATCAAATCTGACTAAAACAATCCAGTGATGGATAAACAATCCAGTGATATACTTTATGAAAAAGTGGCAGCAAATGAGTTATGTTTATCATATTAGAATGGAGATATAATCAGACAACTGAGGGTTCGTATGTGATCAGCAATAATGGCAAAAACTGGTTCAAACAATGAAAATAAAAACAAATCAAATAACTAAACAATAACAAACCAACAACAACACTTTTTAGTGAAACTGGTATCAAATACTAAACACATTTTTGAGTACCCATGCAAATCATGATAGATATTTCTGAATTTTGATTATAATACTGCAGTTGGACAGAATCGTTAGCTTAGTCTGACACATCTGAAGCTGTTTTTCTCCATTTCAGTCTGCATCAGGATCAGTAGCATCACACCTGAAGGAGTCTACCACAGTAACCATGGTAACCGTAGAGTATGGAGTCTCAGGTTGTTCATGGTTTCATCGTGTTCAGTATTGCCACTGATGAGCGAGTGAGTTTAGTTTTCCGTTGCTGTTAGCAATATTATAGCAATATCATAGCTGGGGACATCAGAAATGGGCTTCACAAATTGTACCCATGTGGGGAATTGAACCCAAGTCTTCGGCGTGATGAGCTAATGCTTTAACCATTTGGCCACCCCACTGCCCTCATCACTGATCATGCTGATAACATTACATGGAGATTGTGACAGCAATGTTTCCATTGACAATGTTCACTGTTGAATAAATGAGCATAACTCCCTAGTTGGTATATTTCCTAAAAGGTGAGGTGAAACTGGGTTTTACGTGAGTGAAGCATGAATAGTGAGTGAGTGAGTGAGTGAGTTGAGTTTTACGCCGCGACTCAGCAATTGGCGAATAATCGATTTGGACCATACAATCCAGTGATCAACAGCATGAGCGGTCGATGTGTAATGGGAACCGATGACATGTGTCAGACTGTCAGCGAGCTGACCAATTTTTATAGTGACAAGCATAGCCCACATGAAGGGCTATTCTAATGACCGGACCTTCACGGGTCGAAGCATGAATACCCCACTCAGACACATTATACTGACTCCGAGTCGACCAGTCCTCGTTGTACCCATTAATGCCGAGCTTCAGGCAGGACCAACAAGTACCATATTTTAACTTTTTTTGGTATGACGTGGTCGGGGATCGAACCCACGACCTTCCGCTCTCCGGGAGGATGCTCTAACCACTACACCACGGAGGCAGTATATATCCTAAAAGCATAAGATGCGACAAATAGCCAACATGACATATCATCAATAATGACCTAACATTATATCTCCATGGGTACTCAGAACGCATATGAAACAATATACTACCTCGGTCCCCTGCAACAAGATCTGGAAACAAGGGGGACATGGATTGTTTATGAGTAACAAAATATACCACACATGAAGAAAATGTTATTATGCATGTAAGCTTCGGGTGTTAGAAATAGCATGCATTAGAAAATTGTAAGGATCAACTTAACGGCCATTAATGAATATGTGCAATATGTATAAGCAGTATTGTGATGCCTTGGACTGACTGACTGACTGAGTTTATTTTATGCCGCTTTTAGCAATATTCCAGCAATATCATGGTGGGGGACACCAGAAATGGGCTTAACACATTGTGCCCATGTGGGGAATCGAACCCGGCCTTCAGCGTTTAACCACTAGGCTACCCCATCACCCTATTGGAAAGATTGATTGAATGATTGAGTTTGTTTTCAATATTCCAGTAACACTACAGTCAGGGACACAAAGGGGACACAAAGAATAGGTTTTGTGTTCACACAATGTGCCCATGTAGGGAAACAAACCCTTTACATGTTCAACATGGCCAGTGAACGCAAGCTCTGTAAACCACAAGGCCCCCTATAAAGATGACAGTGTTAATAAATATAACAAATTACATGAACTGATTCTGAATCTCATTCAGCAGGACCCCACTGTGTTCATAGCAAGCTTTGTAAAGTTGAAACAAAAACAGGAGAAATCTGATAACAGAGAACATGGTAACCATGGAAACTCTTCAAGAAACTGTTTGAACTTTATTACCATCTTTACATAATACAACCACAATAGGGTTGGGCTTCAGAGCAGAATCCTCTTTCCTGCTCAGGTAAATGTATCCTAAGTGAAATGGAGAGAGTGATTTGGGTTTTACACTGCTTTTAGCAATACTCCAGCAATATTACACGGAGACACCAGAAATGGGCTTCACACATTGCACCTATGTGGGGAATCGAACCCAGGCCTTCAGCGTGAAGAACAAACACTTTAACCACTGGACTACCCCACTGCCCCAAGTGAAATGGAGACCAAGACCCTTGATATCTGAAGCAGCTCCTGATAAACAGCCCTTACTAAGAGTTACCAAGCAATAAGTTAATAACAAGATTTCCTTTAAATTGTGCTATTATCATGATTACTGTAAACTGTCTTTGCCTAGCTCCTCTTAAACAAATCTCCATGATCACTTTGTTGTTACCATAGCATGATATAGAATAGGTTTATTTAGGTTCTTGCAATGAATTATCCACTCAACAACTTATCGTCCAGTAAACTGGTAAGTAGTACTATTCGTTGGTTTCACATTAATTTTCGACTGGCTGTGCGCGATGTGCAGAGGTAAAAAATATCCACTGGCCAACTTCCGGTTTGGTCGTAAGCTTTACCGATAGTGTAAACACACTCTAAAGAAAGCAAAAATCAAAACAAATATATGGTTTTATGTCGAATTTAACTGATGTCAATTCATTTATGAATGGAAGGGACCGGAATTAGTTAAATAAATAGCTTAACGTTTGTTAACAAGCTCTTGTATAAACACATTTCACCACCACCTGTCCACCGCTTCCTGCACATCCCCTTCTCACAAGTAAAAACACACATCTCTGATGCAATGCCACCAAAATAGGACATCAATTATTGAAAAGCATAGGCAAATGGATGTATGTACTCAACTATGAACAGTTGTCACGCGTAAATAATATTCATACAGCATTTATTTAGAGTGTGTTTACAATATCGCTAATACGACCAAACCGGAAGTTGACCAGTGGATATTTTTACACGCTCTACGCATGCGCACAGCGAGTCGAAAATTAATGTGAAACCAACGAATGTCATATACGCCATTGCTAAACAAAACTGAACATGAGCAGCTGTTTAGGGTTTAATTCTGTTTTCAGCAATATTCTATCAATATCATCCCAAGAGACACCAGAAATAGGCTTCACATATTGTACCTGGGGATTCTAAACCTGGGTCTACTTCTCCATGACAAGAGAGAGCTCTGACCACTAGCCTACTCCACTGAACATTAGTAGTGAAACTAATAGTACCACTTAACATGACCATACCCCCATGGTTCCTCTTTAGTCTCCTAATCTACATTGTAAGCACTGATATTGGTGACTCGGTTTCAATGTCTATTATCGTTATGGAATTCAATATGACATTAATAATAATGATAATCTCACGATACTGTAAAATATTTGAATTTCTTAACTGTCTTCTTGGATATGGACACAATTTGGTAATAATAGACATCTTGATACAGAATCAAAGAATATATGTAATTATATACGTGCATTTCTACTTATTATTAGCTAATCTACATCTAAGTTCTTCATCTACATCTACTACAACAGTTCGGAGTATAGTTGGGTGAATGAGGAAATGTGAGTCATAACGACTTTGTGTACACCTGTACCTTTCTGTCTTACTCGATTATAGGGTTTACCTGTGTTGTCAATATAGAATAATTAGCAAATACACTTACGTCTGTCAGCAAGCGCAGTTGTAAGAAACGCTAAAACTAATACTTTCAAGTTCCAATGCATGATTATTGAGTGGTATTCCAACAGACCACTACACTTCCGCCATTTGCATTCAAACCGTGTCACCGCTGTCGCACCTGAATAAATAGTGCGCGTAGGTCTGTCATCGCTGATATTTAATTAACCCTTTGTTTATTATCGCAACATAGCAGTCCATCCAAACAAAGATCGTATGGTAGGTCTCAGTAAGTTGTCATTATTTATTTGTTTATTTCGTGTGGTGAGTCTCTTTACACCTGTGCGCGAAGTAATACATTGTCAACTGCGTACCTGTACCGGTGTCCAGGTAAAATGTCCCCTCGGACAGTATATCCGTCCGAGTATATAGAATCTACTGTGTAAACGATATTGTAACACTCTAAACTTTTACAATCATTTACATGGAATAAAAAGCGAATTTAAAGCCATTCACAAATGAAATAATCGTATGTATATGGATATTATTGAATAGGTATACGGTAGCTTCTGGATAGTTTTTAGGAAGGGGAACCGGTGGTGTCCTATAAATTCCTGAACTATTACGAGTAGCGCACTACTTTATTACTTATGACACACAATAAATACTTCCAAAGGTACGGAAAAGTATATTTTGAAATATATGATATGTGACGCCAACATATATACATATTACTACACAGCTTCTTAGGACTCTTATGGGGGCGGTGGGGTAGCCTAGTGGTTAAAGCGTTGGCTCGTCACGCCGAAGACCCGGATTCGAATCCCCACATGGGTACAATGTGTGAAGCCCATTTCTGGTGTCCCCCGAGTGATGTTGCTGGAATATTGCTAAAAGCGGCGTAAAACCAAACTCAGTCGATCAGTAGGACTCTTATGTTACACTTTCACGGGTTAATTCGACTGACTGTCAAACGGACACTGTGAGCCTCTCAACTGATTACGGCGTGGATCCACTCTCGATTATCCAGTGTATTATATTGTCACTTATACCGGGTAATCGAGGATGGGTGGAAACCTAAGATATTTAAAAATATATAGCCCGAGAATAGCTACTGATCAATGACTCTGGTTGTCCTTATTTAGAAAAAGAAGGGTTGTTTGTTTTTACGCTGCACTCAGATATTCCACGGAGGTTTGTAAATGGTCGGATTGTCCACGCCCGTGGGGTATGAGTGCACGAAGGTGCAAGGCATACAACTCCTGATTTTCCGCCTTTTTCCGAGATAAGATATAGTCACTGACATTCAGTTAGAGAACAGAGGCAAGTTTGTAGACACACATACAGCTTTCTCACAAATACAGGTAACCGTTTCGGAACATTACAGTCTGATATTGTAAACAGGGAGACATATTCATGGACTATTTGTGGTGTTGACTTCATCATCTGCATTTGGTGAAAATGTACAAGACGGCATTATTTTCGTCATGTTGTCGAGACTTTATGATAAATTTAGTACTTTAAATATGCTGATGTATCTACTTGTGAGACAAGAGGGCACAGCCATCCTCAATATTCAAGGGTTAGTTTCTCTGGAGTATTGGTTGGCCTAAGAGGCGGCGAGGGTCAAGTACAGAACCATCCGAGCGATACTTGATGTACACACCAAGTCTAGGTCTTCCACAGCATGGAGTAAGACCTGTGTGAAGAACGAGTTGAACAACAGGGGGCGAGTACACAGCCTTGTCTTACTCCGTTTGAGGGGGCGGTGGGGCAGCCCATGGTTACAGCATTCTCTCGTCACGTCGAGGATCCGGGTTCGACTCCCCACATGGGTACAATGTGCAAAGCCTTTTTCTGGTATTGCTGGAATATTGCTGAAAGCGGCTAAAAACCAAAATTCAGCCACTGAGTCCTCCGTTTGAATAGTTTCAATAGTCATCATTGGAGCGGACTAGATCAGTCGTGTTGTCATGGCAAAGCCGTATCAGGGTAGTAAACTTGCATGGACAGCCCGGCTTCCTGAGGATGGTCCACAGTGCTTCTCCGTTGATTGTATCAAAGAACCTCGGTCAAGTCTACGAACACTGCGTACAGGTCCATGTGTTGCTTTATACACCTCTCCTGGACTTGTGGGGCGGTGGGGTAGCCTAGTGGTTAAAGCGTTGGCTCGTCACGCCGAAGACCCACATGGGTACAATGTGTGAAGCCCATTTCTGGTGTCCCCCGCCGTGATGTTGCTGGAATATTGCTAAAAGCGGCGTAAAACTAAACTCAGTCAGTCAGTCAGTCTCCTGGGCTTGTACTGATGTAGACACCATGTCTACAGTACTGCGACGAATTCGAAAGCCCCAAGATGCGTTGGGGTAGCCTAGTGGTAAAGTGTTCGCTCGTCATCGAAGACCGGGTTCGATTTCCCACATGTGTACTATGTTTGAAGCCTATTTTCAGTGCCCATTTCGGGTGATCAGGCTCGCTGTCTTGGTTGATACATGTGATCGTATCCCAAATGCGTAAATCGATGCTCATGCTGTTGATCACTGGATTGTATTATCCAGACTCGATTATTTACAGAACGCTTTCGTATAGCTGGAATATTACTGAGTGCGGCGTTAAACAACAAACAAACAAACCAACCATCCACTGTTTCGAAGTCTACGCATCCCTCCTGCCAAGCGGCCGTAAAATATCAACACATGTACCTCTGGCAAAACACGATTTTCCCATTTCCGATTTTTGAAAAGTGAATAAAAACCCAACAACACAGAATACTACTTTATGAAAGTTCACAAATGTCTTGGTATAGACAGTAAATACGTTTGATCCATGGCCTGTTTCGTAGTTCCAAGACACACAAGGTAAATAGTGTAATATACGAGAAAAATGTACTGGCTTTGTGTGATAAAAGCAGCAGACAGCTGTCAGATTATACCACAACAAAAAGTTTATAAGTGAACTCAACCCATCCTCGATAATCTCCGGGGTATACGTTACGACCACTCTCCACTATACCCTGGATGCATCCACGGCTTGGCCCCATAATTATATTACCTCCCTTGGCCGGCTTTTTATCCAATCATGTGTCTATGCTGGGAAGTTGAGCGAACAAATCATAACTCACTTTCGCTTCTTAAATTATCTAACCGTTTAAACTTGGCAACACAATTGAAGCAGAGGTACTCTGAAAGAGGTAGAAGGAGTTCTTTCATATATTGTTTTAAAGTTTCAGATCTGTCAGTTTGTCTGTATTATTTCCCCCAAAATGCGAACAAACCTTCATGACTGCGACCGCTATCTTTTTTGACACTGGCAAGCTCGGATGTAACGGCGGCTTAGCTGATTAGCTACTGTGAGAATGCGGAGCCAGCAAAGGGGTTGTAATATAATTATGGGGCCAAGCCGTGGATGCATCCAGGGTATAGTGGAGAGTGATCGTAACGTATACCCTGGAGATTATCGAGGATGAACTCAACCATGAACTCATTTTTCCCGTTGTTATTCATGTCAGTACATTTACTAATATAAATTTAATGTAGAAGTTTGAGATGTTAACGACCTAAATGAAGCAGGTCTGGATTTCCTCAGGTTCTGAATCACTGAACTCAATAGGGCTCCTTATCAATTTATAAATGGAATTATTTGTTTCTGTCAAAATTATATATTCAGAGACTAAGCATTAGTCTGCTAATTAGGTTTAGCAGTGTATGAGATGTGCTGTGGATCTTCAATTGTTTGTTTTAAGCTTCAGGCATTTTGGCATACACATGTTATTTGTGGAATGCCACATATTTCCGGTTTCACAAGCAATCTGCGAGTGTGTATCATACATTTTTTTCTGACGAAAAGCATGTATTTCGTTTAGTTAGTGACAGACTCACACAGCCTTTCAAAAGTCGCATCGATTATCTACCGACATATTTTGTAGCCGCAATACGTCTTGTGTCAAAAGATAGAGCACGTAATTGTGCTGGTGATTGAAGTGGTATATAGTTGATACTGGTATCAATGCTTTTTTTTCACCTTAATTGTGTTTCGGTTGTAACGTTTTGATAACGCGAGGAATTATTGGGTCACATCAAATTGTCAGGTGTATACTGTCACCAGTCTGGTAGTTCACCTTTGTACTTACGTGTAATGCCGTGCATTGGTCCTGTATCCTTGGTAACGAACCTGATACAGTGGTGAGGATATGGAAATATCATGGCGGGGACACCATGCAGCAATGGGCTTCACACATTGTATCCGTGAGGGAAATCGAACACGTACCTGAGGCGTGACGAGCGAAAGCTTTACCTACTCAGCTACCCTACCTCCCGCCTCGGGGCGGTGGGGTAGCCAAGTGGTTAAAGCGTTAGCTCGTCACGCCGAAGACCCGGGTTCGATTCCCCACTTGGATACAATATGTGAAGCCCATTTCTGGTGTCCACCGTCGTGATATTGCTGGAATGTTGCTAAAAGCGGCGTAAAACTAAACTCACTCCCGCTTCATACAAAAACCTTTTTACACGAAGAACGAGTAGAGTTGCGTCCCTTTGGCACGCCAGAAGCAAGTGATCGGCGGTTTGAATCCGTGTTTCCCCAGACTATGTGAGGGTTTGTCAGCACCATAACTGTGCTTATGGGTTTCATGTAAGTGTTGAAAGTCTAAGACTTCCGTCACCTCTAGGCTTTCCTCCCGTATTAAACAGACCCTTATATAACTAAAATGCTATTCAAACCAGCATCAAACCAGACTCACTCGCAATTTCAGCTAATCAAACGGCATGGATACTATGCAAATTATTGCATGAGTGTTTGTGTCGCAAGGACTTCAGGAAAACAAGTGTCTGTACTATTGTAGTTTCCGAAGTTCATTTGGTCCTATTTTCAATGACAGCCTTCGTGGTGTAGTGGATGGTGCGTCTATCGGCAGAGCCAGAATGCAGATGGTCAAAAAGAAAACAATTGATGGTATTTGTAGTTACCCTGCCTGGCGTTCGGCATTAAAGGGATAACGCCAGTACAGTAAAACATGAGTCTCATGAACCAGACAGTGACCTACTTTTCAGCCGATCCGAAGTTTCTCGTGTGAAAGTGAAAAGAGACATTACAAACAACTATGGTTACACGAAATGCCAATTCCTGGTTTCATAAGAAAATGGTATTTACAAATGAATTTTAATTTTAAACTTTTAAAAATTGTATTTCTATATTTTATGGCTAGGCTTAGGCAGCATGACGTTAACAAAGACGACACAGACTGCCCCTATTTGATGAGGTCGTAACCTGACTGATTAATCTGGCTCACTGGTTACACCTGCTGTGTGTTCCTTGCGCTTATTAAGTGTACTTTTGTAACGTACAATGTGATTGATATAATATCAAGGCCGTACATGACCGCCAAACATTTCTAGCGGCCGAGCCTCGTTTTGAGATTTCCACGATTTCCAGATTTCCGGTTGTCAGAGCACGCTGTACGACAGAGCACGCTGCATAACGTGTTTGCAAGGATTAGAAGGAGCGTAGTGTTGCAATATACAAGTGATTAGATGTATCAAATAATACTGATTAATATTTATATATCCAGTTGAATGAGTTGGTCGCAAAATTCTGGACTGGTTATTGTACCAAATTGCGCAATAGGACGGAACCGAGTCAGCAGGAAACGAGACTGTTGTATAATCAATGTTTGACTTGTGTCTTAGCTTGGTATACATTTACATCACATCATGATACATTTCAGTGGGAAAGCACGATAAAACTAGCATTAGTACTCGCGCTAACTAAAACATACACACATGCACACGCACACGCTTTTACACAGGCACATACCCGTGAAGATATGGGTAACCCATGCGACTAACGGGATCGGCTGGTCAGGCTCGCTGACTTGGTTGACACATGTCATCGTATCCCAATCGCATAGATCGATGCTGTTGATAATTGGATTGTCTGGTCCAGACTCGATTATTTACAGACCGCCGCCATATACCTGGAATATTGCTGAGTGCGGCGTAGAACTAAACTCACCCACGCATTCACACGACCACGCACACGCACTCACAGTGAGTATCATCCTCGATAATCTCCAGGGTATACGTAACGACTGACAGACTGACTGAAGTTGGTTTTACGCCGCTTTAAGCAATATTCCAGCAACATCACGGCGGGGGACACCAGAAATGGGCTTCACACATTGTACCCATGTGGGGATTCGAACCCGGGTCTTCGGCATGACGAGCCAACGCTTTAACCACTAGGCTACCCCACCGCCGCTATACGTTACGATCACTCAGCACTATATAGTGGAGAGTGATCGTAACGTATACCCTGGAGATTATCGAGGTTGAGTGAGTATAAGTGTGCTTCATATGTCACTATGAAAAAGTGCAATGATCCGGGGTAGAATAGGTGTTCAGCAACCCATATGCTTGCCATAAAAGGCGACTATGCTTGTCGTAAGAGGCGACTAACGGGATCGGGTTGTCAGTTTCGCTGACTTGGTTGACACATGTCATCGGTTCCCAATTGCGCAGATCGATGCTCATGCTGTTGATCACTGGATTGTCTGGTCCAGACTGGATTATTTACAGACCGCCGCCATATAGCTGGGATATTGCTGAGTGCGGCGTAAAACTAAACTCACTCACTCACTTAAACGCCACATTAGACACAACTTATGCCACTTATTTTCGTTTCGTTCAAACGGTAGTTGTCTAGATTATTAAAACTTCTAGCAGTGATAAAAAATAATGAAAGACGTATTTATATACATCTATGTCATCATTTATTTTGTCCGGAATGTGTTAAACATGTCACCATCAGTTTCTCACAGATATTAAAGCTCGCCCTATAGATGCGACAAGGGCGACAACGTGGCCTAGTCGTGCAGGTCCTTGTCCAGAATGTACTCGCCGAGATGGTAGTCTTTCGTGAATCTCTTCAGCCTCGTCACATATTCCCCCAACTCTTTGATCAGATCCACCTTCTGGTCTAAGAACCTGTCCTCGAGGAAGCAGGTAACCTGAGGAGGTAGAGTGTAGTTTGTCACAGCTGGGAATCAAGTGATATTAAGTAAATTGAGGTGAAATTGGTTGTAACGCACCAAGTACCATGACATTATCACATGGCAATGGTTATAAATCAAGGTATGAAACACAGTAGTCTGTCATAGAGACCCTGAAACAAACATATCCAAGAAAGCCCATGCAAGTCTAGATTATGTGGCAAGTCTAGATTTCCACAGTTTCAGGAGAAAGTCTCAGGGTTCCTTTTTATTATATTTCATTTTTTTTATTATGAACTGTTGTTTTTTTTGTAAAATATGTTCATTTCAGAAACTAGTTGTTAGTCTAGAAACAGTAATGGGATCTGAAAACAATCTCAATCAGCATTCAGAAATCCGAACGTGCTTTCACTGCGCACGATACTTGTTACATGAAGTTTAAACCAGTACGGTATCACAAAATGACTGTATCTATACTGACACTCCTCCATCGTATCTGCTTATTTTATGTTAAACAAATAACATACACACACCCTGTGTAGGATTATAATCTTCACGGGGCGGTGAGGCAGCTTAGCGGTTTGGCGTGGCATGTATGCCCGACACTGGCTCCTTCCATCTGCTACTAGAATTAAATCCTCCAGTCTCTTAAAGAAATATTTCATCCATCTCCACACACGGTGTGCAGCCAACCCTAGTTTTACTCACATGAGGATCGCCGTTCGCTGCTCCGTGTGTCTTCAGCAGGTTCTTGTTTAGATCCTTTTCCATACCCAGGGCGTATTCCATCGCCTTCAGCCCGTCACGCCACACTGCTTGTGGACTCTTCTGCAAATGGTAAGACAAGTAGAACATAGGTTATATTTGGGAGTACACGACCTCAGTAAAGTAGAGATTCTTGAAATTTACTGAGTAAGTGTACAGAAATATTACATCTGACCAGTTTCTGAATGTCACATGTTACAATATTGCAACTCATTTCGATACCCGTTCTCAACGCGATGCAGTGTTTTACTAACTGTTACACGTCGACATTAGATACATATATACGTGTTTTTTCAGTATTACAACACTTCTATTCTTTTGATGCATGGTGCGCCATGAGCTTACTGCAATCTTATTAAAGATCAGGGCCTAGAGTTTCGAAGCTCTCTTAGCGCTAAGATAGTCGTAAGTTAATGTTAATGTATGGCACTTACGACTATCTTAGCGCTAAGAGAGCTTCGAAAATCTAGGCCCAGGGGTGTAGGGGGTAGCCTAGAGGGAAAAGCGTTCTCTCGTCACGCCGAAAACCCGGGTTACTATGTGTGAAGCCCATTTCCGGTGACCCCTGCAGTGATATTGCTCGAGTATTGCTAAAAGCGGCGTAAAACCCAACTCACTCACCCAGTAGAATATTTTGGGTTTTTTCCGAGGGTCGTTGCCAAAATGAACTTTCTGATTGGTTATTGAAGAGTTCCTATTAATCATTTCATTGGTTGTAGTGAAAGGCCATTCTCATGTGAGCTGTAATGGGATGTCTTACTTTGTTTGGCGACAGCAAGAACTAAGATCTGGTTGTAATTATAGAACAGTGGTTTAGGGTGTCAAAAACTGAAACTCTTCTACCGGCGGTATAGCGATAGGTACGTGGTATCGTTGGAAAGCTTGGAATCTCTGCAAGACACTTGAATGATGAAGGGGCAAGTATTAACCCTGAAACGTCGTGTGTAAATAATAATGAAGTTGCACATCCATAGCAAGTGTCTTGTATTACCTTACCAACTTCTAAATACCTTATCAAAGATTGGAATCTCTATAGTTTCCGAGTGCCAGGCAACTGTTATAATAGCATCATGTAGTATATACTGTAAGTTTACCGAAATGCTAGCCCGGGGGATATAGAGGATACACAGGATACTGATAAATACATGTAAATGAAATATCAAGGGTAGATTGATACAGGTAAAGTCTCACTATGTTCTTCAGCTTGATGTAGCCGCCTCTCTTGTTGATGTACTTCATGAGCGCTTCAGCATCGTCACGTGCTTTGTGGGAAGCGGTCAGAAAATACTTATGGAAGCCCGGCAGTGCCATGTCAGCTCGGTCAAACCAGAAGGCCTGCAACAGAAGGATGTAACACAGTGACCTTGAAGTGGTCAGTAACACATGGAATAGTTACAATACTCATCACTACTAATTCCGTATACTTTTATCATCGCCTGTTGACCAAATCAAATATATTTTTGGTGGAAGATATTGTTTTTAATATCCGACTCCGTTTTAACAGCACCTCTAGTGTTCCGATGAAGTCTAAAGTGGCAAACACTAATGCTAACAGATTTATTCTGTGAAACACTCATACACAAATTATGTTAAGATTGTTTGTTTGTTGTTTAACGCCGCACACAGCAATATAAATATTCGGGTCTGGACCAGACAATCCAGTTATCAACATCATGAGCATCGTTTTACGCAATTGGGATACGATGACATTTTAGAGTTTGTACAACGATACAAACTAGAAACCACATAGGCGGGGGTGGGGGTGCAGGGGATGCGCATCCCCCTTTTGTACTGAAAGTTTATTAAATGACCATTGAAACTCTCGTGAAAATGAAGTGTGCACCATTCCTTTCTCAATAGTGTGCAGCCCCCTTTTCTCAGAAAGCTGTATCCGCCCCTGAACTACGTTCTCTTCCCACAGAGGTCACTTGCAATCACAAGGCTTAATTCCCGTATGCTTCGTGAAAATAGAACCTCTTCCCCTGCACGATGCGCAAAGTTTCTTCTAGACAGACCTCAGTCATATAATGGCGGATCAATGGCGTCTCCATCGCCCTCGTTGACAACGGACAAGCTAGCCATTAAATGTCTTGTGTGTCACATTAACACAAGTCCCAGACAGAGGAGGGATATTTGTGGCCCCATATTTGCTTGCATTAGTCAAGTTGGATCTAAGTCGATGTAACACGTGTTCTGATTGGATAGAAAGAAGGGAGATAATGCGTGTTGCGATTTTTTGCCGCTAGGGGATTTTACGAGAACTGGGACATAAGGCCGTATTAGAACAGAGGTTCGTAGGAAGATATGACAAGTAACCTCTGTGGGAAAAGAATGCTGAACTATGGAGCGAGACATTCTGATCCAGTGACCCAAACTCTTGTCCAGTATTGATACCTAAACTACCGGGAAAAAGAAAGTTTACAATTTCACTGAACCAAAAATTACAAACGTTATTAGGCTGAAATTAGTGGCCACAACACTACCAACGTATGGTCGAAAACAAATAACTATGCATTATACCCGTATCAAAAACATTACCATATGGTAACCCATGCTTGTCGTAAGAGGCGACTAATGGGATCTGGTGGTAAGGCTCGCTGACACATGCCGTATCCCATTAGCGTACATCGATGCTCATGCTGTTGATCATTAGATTGTCTGGTCCAGACTCGATTATTTACAGACAACCGCCATATAGCTGTAATATTGCGGCGTAAAACTGCACTCACTCACTCATCACCACATGGGCACCATTAAACATAATTGTATTCTTTATTTTGTTCTTCAGTATATGTTTTCACTACTGTCGAATTGGACTAGGAGCGATGCACTGTCAAGAATACAAATTTTGTTTTACTCCGCAATCTGACTATATCCTGTAAATAGGTTGGATTGGACCAGACAAACCATTGGTCGACAGCATTGGCAGTGGGTGGCGGTACAACCCACCATTAACACGTTACACCTTATAGTGTGCCTCAATACAATTGTGATCAGAGCAGATGTTGTTACGGAGCTCAGCATATACTGCTGTTCTCTGGCAGAGGTCCGGGTTCGATCCCCGACAGAACGTACCATGGAGAGGTAGACATAACTGGCGACGACGGATCCGTTAATCCTGTCATTGAGCTCGTTGATCACCTTGACAGCAAAGGATTGCGAGACGAGCGGGACTTGTTGTTGGGCTGGACCAAGAAGAACAGACATTACATGTCAATAACAACCACGTATAAGGTATATATACACACGGTTGTACCGTGAATATACCGTGAACAAACAGAATATACCGCTCACCTATATCAACACCTACCAACTACATGACGGGTAGAGTTCCTTTTACAAAGTATAACTAAACTAACTATTCTCATCATTGCCGGATTTAGATAGAAGTAAGTGAATATGGTTTTACACCGCTTTTAGCAATATTTCAGCAATATCACGTCATGACACCACAAATGGGCTTCACAATTTGTACCCATGTGGGAATCGAACCCGGGTCTTCGGCGTGATGAGCGAACGCTTAAACACTAGGCCGCCCCTCAATGTAACAGACAGGGCAAAAGGGTTTAATCATTGCAAAGTGGTGTTTACTATTTACAGACCGCTGTCATAAAGTTTGAATATTGCTGAATGCGACAAAGACAAAAACCAAAAAACAGTCAACGCACGGTCAAAGAGCAATGGTTCAATACGAGTTATTGATAGTTCGAGTTAAACAGGAATCGGTTTTGCAATACAGTAGATTTACTGTCTGACTGAGTTTGTTTTACGCCGCTTTTAGCAATATTCCAGCAACATCACGGCAGGGGACACCAGAAATGGGCTTCACACATTGTACCCATGTGGGGATTCGAACCCGGGTCTTCGGCGTGACGAGCCAAAGCTTTAACCACTAGGCTACCCCACCGCCCCTACAGTAGATTTAACATCGTCTCAACGATTCTTATGAACGTGTGACACTTCAAATTCATATTTATGTTAAGTTAAAAACACAAACACCGACAGAGTATTACCCCCAACAATGGAGTATGGCCCCAAAGACATCTGAATATTGTGATGGACATAATATCAAAATAACCCTGAATATATGATCATATACATGACAAAATCATTTAATATCATATCATAAACAGATATGTTTATGTTATTCGTTCATGAGGAATATGGAGTCATTGAATGGCATTTAGAAGTGATGTACATAAAGACAAGAATTTTATAGATATCATCACAATAAATATGTTGACATCCATATAATTCCTGCCTTTATGAAGAATATAAGCTACTACCAGAGTTAAAAAAGTAAATTCATGTTACCTTTCTGTGTTCCTACATTCCCCGTGTCTTCCCCAAAAAAGATTGCACGTGCCCCTAAGACGCTACACGCGATGAGTGTAAAGGTGAGTAGACCCGTCTTCATCCTTACGGTCTAGGGCTGCTGGAGGACTGGAAGTTGATGGAAGGCAACACGCCAAGGATGATCTCAGGGCACAGGTGAAAGTCCAGATACCTACTGTAATAGCTTGTATGGCTAACTGATAACCCGCTGACAGATTGTCTCATTGATAACGTATCATCCAAACTAGTTGCACGTCATTGTGTGTGGAAGAATGATGCACGCATACCGAGTTAAACCGAATGAACACTACGGTAGATAAGATACAGTTGTGTATGATATAAGGACGATAAGTGGCTTATGTAGTGGGAAGTGTTGAAACAAATGAACATGCTGAGAATTAAAAATATTATGCCATATCTGAAATATGAGATCCATTAACGTGTCTTTATAATCGACTGTATAATTCATTGTGAAGCAATGTTGTAATTGTATACGCTGTGACTAAGACAAGGTCATCGGGAGTCTTTGACCTGTGTTACGTGACCGGCGATAACACCTTAACTGGACAGTCACACGCTATCAAGTTGTTTTGGTTTTCTATAGCGTGTATGGTTCAAGTGCACCAGGCTTGACCTGCCGGACTATAGGCTCCTGTTGTACCAGGAACCGGAACTCCAGGTCCCATCCCGATTGTATCCTTACTCTCACCTACTACTCCTACCCTAGCCAGAATTGGTCTTCAGTAACCCATGCTTGTCGTAAGAGGCGACTAACGGGATCGGGTGGACACTTTGAACACTTTTCAAACTCTTCTTAACACGGCATCTCATGGACTGTTGTACCCAATGTCTTCAAATTTGGTGACAGCATACATTGGGGGCTTACGCAGACACCAGTTGATTTTGGGTGACCTTGACCTTATCTTCAAGGTCACCACGACACTTTTCACACTTAACTCTTGATAACGCGATATCTCATGGACTGTTGTACCCAATGTCTTCAAATTTGGTGACAGTTTACATTGGGGTATTACACAGACACCAGTTTATTTGGGTGACCTTGACCTTATCTTCAAGGTCACCACGATACTTTGACCGCTTTTTAAATGGATATCTCATAAAACATTGCACCCAATGTTTTCAAGTATGTTGACAGCCTACATTGGGTGATTAGGCAGACACCAGTCATTTCAGGCATCTTGTATGTGACCAAAAATAAAAAGTAGTAAATATAGATATTCCATTCTTTAGCGGCGGGGGACATTTCCATATCAGTGGCAAACACTTGTTGGAATCTGTAACCACACAAATTCCGAACAGGACACAATCCTTTTTAAGTGTGCATCATAACCTGGGACGTCTTCAGTGGAACCCAACTCCATCAATCATGCAGATGTCATCTAACGTAGTACACATGCTTTCAGTTTCATCACGTTTCCATTGAAAATGCCCGTGAACATCCGGGTTAGAATTGGTCTTCAGCAACCCGTGCTTGTCGTAAGAGGCGACTAACGGGATCGGGTGGTCAGGGTTGACACATGTCATCGTATCCCAACTGCGTAGATCGATGTTCATGCTGTTGATCCCGGATTGTCTGGTCCAGACCCGATTATTTACAGACCGCCTCCATAGAGCTGGAATATTGCTGAGTAAAACTAAACTCACTCACTCACTCACCTGAGCCAGTGAGGGCTCACTCAGCCTGGACTCTGCTCATCCAGCATGTAAAGCCTTTCCCATGCTGACTGTGCCAACATAATTTACAACATAATATCCACGATAATGTGACATAGTGTTTTTATTTGTAGTAAGATATACACGTAACGGTACAACAATGTTTAACATTCGGTAACACTTTTTCTTAAAATATGCTGAATATTTTTTATTACATACAATTTTCTTGATGTTTAGCCCATAATTATAAATATTTCCATGTTTTGTACTTTTTGAAATCTTTGTGAAACGTAAAACACATTATACTAGGTTAAGTTAAACCGAATCATAACAGAAAATGTTTTGCTTTTTATTATTAGTTTGCTTTTGATTGTTAAAACCTAAATGTTTATACATTCATTTGCACATAATGTTCGGTAATCAATAATTCAACACAAATCACACTTCCTCAGATATTATAGCTGCAAAAGGTGTACGCCATCTAGAAAATATGCACTTATTAAATCTCAAACACGTCTTGAAACGTTATCTAGAGGATAAACAAATTAACCAAGAGTAGACTATGAGACACCGTTCTGGTTCAGCAGTTTAGAATCGGTCTCATTTAACCCTAGTATGTAACCTGTAGATGTATAATATCGCCAGTATATAAACTTTATCGGTTGATGTAAACACCTAATCTCCTCTTTACAATGGTAGCAACACAACAGAAAAGATGTATTTCATCTTCAACACAGAGTCAAGATTTGTTAAAATATTCAAATCCCGAGTGCACAGTGTCCTTTCAAAATCCATCATGATACAAACAAGATATAGCATATCTAACGCATGCATTGTAAAATATTAGACAGGTAAACTATTCAGAATGTGCAAGTGTCTTTTCACAGATTATAATGCTGTAATGAAGTATACAGCTTAGATATACTTATATCATATAGTGTTGTAAATAACACCGACGTCTAATTGCAATGTGTTGTGGTCAAATCATATTAAAACATCCTCCTTTTTAACTCTAAAGCAGATTATATTTTGTGTCCCTGCACAACCCCTCTAGATTTCCAACATGGTTGTTCCATTACACAGAAAGAGGTCCTGTTCCTCATATAGTTCACATAATGGTGAAATATTCACATCTAGAGCAGATAGTATTTTGTGTCCTTTCACAATCACTCTAGATTATCAACATGGTTGTTCCATTACACAGAAAGAGGTCCAATTCCTTATATAGTTCACATAATGGTGAAATATTCACATCTAGAAGAGATAGTGTTTTGTGTCTCTTCACAATCACTCTAGATTGTCAGCATGGTTGTTCATTACACAGAAAGAGGTCCAATTCCTTATATAGTTCACATAATGGTGAAATATTCACATCTAGAAGAGATAGTATTTTGTGTCTCTTCACAATCACTCTAGATTGTCAGCATGGTTGTTCCATTACACAGAAAGAGGTCCAATTCCTTATATAGTTCACATAATGGTGAAATATTCACATCTAGAGCAGATAGTACTTTGTGTCCCTTCACTCTAGATTTCCAACATGGTTGTTCCATTACACAGAAAGAGGTCCAGTTTCACATATAGTTCACATAATGGTGAAATATTCACATCTAGAGCAGATAGTATTTTGTGTCCTTTCACAATCACTCTAGATTATCAACATGGTTGTTCCATTACACAGAAAGAGGTCCAATTCCTTATATAGTTCACATAATGGTGAAATATTCACATCTAGAAGAGATAGTATTTTGTGTCTCTTCACAATCACTCTAGATTGTCAGCATGGTTGTTCCATTACACAGAAAGAGGTCCAATTCCTTATATAGTTCACATAATGGTGAAATATTCACATCTAGAGCAGATAGTATTTTGTGTCCCTTCACAATCACTCTAGATTTCCAACATGGTTGTTCCATTACACAGAAAGAGGTCCAATTCCTTATATAGTTCACATAATGGTGAAATATTCACATCTAGAGCAGATAGTACTTTGTGTCCCTTTCACAATCACTCTAGATTTCCAACATGGTTGTTCCATTATACAGAAAGAGGTCCAATTCCTCATATACCGTAGTTCACATAATGATATGCCATTCACTTCTAGAGCGGATAGTATTTTGTGTCCCTTTACAACCACTCTAGATTCCCAATAAAGGAGTTCCATTACACAGAAAGAGGTCCTGTTCCTCACTTGTAGAAGCTGATGCACATTGGGTCAGTTCTTCAGGCCGAATCACAAAATCCTGTCTTAAACAAATGTGTTTGACAGTGCACATTATTGCGCATTTGTTGTGATCTTTAGTCGGGCTTTGTTTGAGAGAGACTTTTCCCAGATCTAGCCGGTCTCCCTGCCCGACCTGAACGGCCACACCCGGACGGCATCACGACGTCTACTCCTTCACCTCCGTCCCCTTCTTCTCCTCCTGAGCGTTCTTCTCCCCCTCGGCCTCCTTCTTGGCCTCCTCCTCCCTCCTCTTGTTCTCCGCCTCCTCTAGCCTCTTCTTCTTAGCGTCCTCCTCTGCAACAACTCTCAGGCCGTTGACGATCCTGCGTGCCGACTTGTCAGACTTTGGCACCAGAAACGTCCTCTCGACGACACGGAATCCATCGTCACGGCATACGTGGTCTTGGTTGATGATGATCTGGCTCTCCCGAACTGTGTACACCACAGTGACCTCAACCTCCTCCTCCTTCTCAATTGGTGGCATGACTTCCCGACTGGAGAAGCCGAAGGGCGTCAGCCTCAGAGAAGTGGGGTCGGCCATCAGAGACTGCATGCAGGAGCGGCGAGAAACTTCTTTCTTCTTCTTTGGTTCCAGTTTCTGAGACAATTTCCCGCTGTGGTCGACTGCCAAGAAAATTGTAGTCTTATCCTCTGGGACTGTCGTTTTCTTAGACCTGAACAGCTTTTTAAACCGAGAGAATCTGGACTCGGGCTTGAACCCAGACTTCTTGTCTGCCGGTGGAGCTGGACCCACGCGGCTATTGATACACCCCATTCTCAGTGTCTGCTAGTGGAAGATAATAGTTGGAGCATCATTGCGACATAGTGACATGGTACGCTGCATCAAAGTATCCAATTGTGCCCAGCGCCATTTCCCTGACTGCGCCATACTGCCGTCTCCATGCGAATGACTTCGGAGGACGACGTCGTCAAGTCTGTGACGTCATAGAAGGGATGACCAATCATGGGGGCGTCCCTGAACGCGGATAGTAATTTTCCGTAGGCCATTTTTGAAGAATGAATTTGCAATCGGATTTAAATGATTTTGTATTTACTGAATGCGTTTCTTACGTTTTTTATTAATAGTATTTATTATACGCCGCAATACCACTGTGGGGACAAATATGAATTCCAGATTCAAATATGAATCTAATTATGACGTTTGGTATAAAATGCAGCTATTCATAAACACTGATGCATCACCACCATGTAACCATGTGTCACTATGCAGCGTTGGGGGTAGCCGGGTGGTTAAAGCGTTCACTCGTCACGCCGAAGGGTCTGGGTTCTGTTCCGCACATGGGTACAATTTGTGAAGCCCGCTGGTGTCCCCGCCGTGATATTGCAGGAATTTGCTAAACGCGGTGCGTAAACCACTATCCCATATCTCATCAAACTTAAACATGTATATGGTGCGTCAAATATGTGAATCGTATCAGCCTACTGGAATGTATAACCCTGCATTATTGCATTGTTAATTTGTTGTTAAAGGTTTTGGTCTGTTCACGTGTGATTTTCAACCCGATCGATGTGTTGAGCTTTCGGTCGCAAAACTTTGAAAAACGAGCGTTTTGCTAAAATGGATGTAAGGGTGTTATTTGCTTCAACTGCAAGTACTAGTTGGAATTGGATTTCCGTTTCCTTTTTCGTTGTTAGAAACTGCCACAGTTAAGTTTGGCTGCTAAAGCAGGTGGTACTTTGGTTTACAAAGGATGAAAAACAACTACTATGCGACGGGAATTGTATTAGGGAGCATCCATGCATGAACTGGTGTGCTGATGCGATGTGAATTCATCATCATCATCATCATCATCATCATCATACTAATATTTGTATAGCGCCAATATCCAACTCAGCTGCTCAAAGACGCTTTGAAATGTTCTTCAGTAACTCATACTTGTCGTAAGGGGCGACTAACGGGATCGGGTGGTCATGTCATGTCATCGTAACCCAGTTGCGTAGATTGATGCTCATGCTGTTCATCACTGGTTTGCCTGGACCAGAATCGATTATTTACAGACCACTGCTATATAGCTGGAATATTGCTGAGGGCGGCGTTAAACAACAAACCAATCACGTCTCTGACGCGTCGAACAGCAACATTTCCATCCTCCAATATACACCAGTTTCTCATTAGCAGGTTGAACATTATCTACAAACAAGCTCTGGTAATAGACTTTAAATGTTTATTCTGAAATCACAACACCTATTTTAACAAAAGTGACCATAAAAATTAGCCTGGCCACGACATTCATCAGGGGACGTGTTACATCAGCTTGATCTCAGGATATAACATTACTGTAGCGACTGGTCGAAGAGGTATTCGCCAAGACGGTAGTCGTTGGAGAATCTGGACAGTTGGGCCACGTAGTTTCCTAGCTTCTTAATGGATTCCACCTGTTCCTCAAGGTAGATGTGCTCCAGGGTGTGCGTCAGCTGAAATACCGAAACATATGAATTTGATTTAAACATATTTATTCAAGAGAATGGATTGGGTACAAGTTATGCCAACTTAATGAAACCGTCTCCTATTTACAGTGCTTACATGCAAAAGTGAAACAAACTATATGTACAGGGATAGAAAGATATATACAAAATGATATATACAATACAATGAATACATGAATTATTTAGATCATACACATTATATCCAATCACTGAACCTTTTGGAATTTGATATATATTTTTGAACTTCTTTAAAAATTTGAATATTGTCACTATACGGAAGATCTGCACTGCCATTTAATAGTACGTCTAGGTTTGTTGGTGCTTTAATGTTACAAATTCTGCTAATATTTTGAAACATTTCCTGTCTGATAACAGAATACAAAGAACATTCCATAAAATAATGTTGAGAATTTTCACAGGTAAATTTACAGTAACATTTGGGGTTAAGTCTGAGTGCGTGAGTGCGTGCGTGCGTGCGTGCGTGCGTGCGTGCGTGCGTGCGTCAGTGAGTGAGTTCCGTCGCATCGGCATTATTTCAGCCAGACAGCGACAAGGCCAGGTTTGCACACAAACACATTTTAATTACAAAGTCTGAAGGAGTTTCTCAAAATAAATATATTTTTTATCATTTACAAATAGAACTGTGGATGTGCGTGCATGTGCATGTGACAGGGTGTACTTTACTGAAAATGTTATATAAATGTGTTAATTCTTACATGGGGATCTTTTGTTGGTCCTGATGAAGCGATGTCGTGCAGATCAAGGAGTTCTGAGTTAACTTTTCTCTCAATCAGAAGGGCGTCTTCCATCGCCATCAGTCCGTGGCTCCAGTCACTGCGAGGCCTCTATATACAGACAATAAAACGCAAAGAAACTGATGTAAAGATTCAATGAAATGATCCCATTTCACATTTGAGCGAGGCTGCCCACTACTACTACTACTACTACTACTACTACTACCACTACTACTACTACTACTGATCGGGTGGTCAGACTCACTGACTTGGTTGACACATGTCATTGTATCCCAATTGCGTAGAACGATGTTTATGCTGTCGATCACTGGATTGCCTGGTCCATTATTTACAGACCGCTCTCATATAGCTGGAATATTGCTGAGTGCGACGTTAAGCAACAGCCAAACTACTACTACTACTACTGTTCTATTACTACTACTACTACTACTACTACTACTACTACTACTACTACTACTACTACTACTACCACCACCACCACCACAACCATTGCTACTCCTTGAACGTATTACATGTACTTCTATTGTAATTATAACTGAAATTCCGTCGACCACAACTACTTTCATATACGACTACAACATCAACAACTACTACTTCAACCACTACGAGCGCTGCCACCTACCATGCAAACTGGGTCACTCTTCGATTTCAGCAACTGTCGCTTCTGACTCACGAAGTAGCAAATCTGAAACAAAGACGAATAACCTCACCACATCTCGGTCAACAGACAAAACTGCTCCTGCTGTTGATCACTGGATTGTCTGGTCCAGACTCGATTATTTACTGACCGCCGTCATATAGCTGGAATATTGCTGAGGGCAGCGTAAAACTAAACTCATTCACTCAACAGACATAATATTGGATATAAGTGACAGTTTACCTTGACACATGCAGTCGAATGCAGTCTGTAATAGGAGACGCGACATACAACCGATGGCTAAGATTGAGCCCTCGAATGAATATTATATGAATATTACTTTAATTGAGTCTGAAAAGGTCCATCCTTGTAACCTGATTCGTTGCTCTGACTATCGACCCTCGGTTATCAGGTCAAGGTTCGAGAATTTGCTGCCTGACATGAATTAGCTGTGTTATGATGCATGCAGTTTTGTGAAAAAATACACCATTTCAGTGAGCTAGTGGGTGAGTTGGGATTTACGCCGCTTTCAGCTATATTCCAGCAATATCACGGCGGGGGACACCAGAAATGGGCTTTACACATTGTACCCATGTGGGGAATCGAACCCAGGCCTTCGGCGTGACGAGCGAACGCTTTAACCACTGGGTTACCCCACCGCCCCTTCACCATTTCCGAAAATACCACTTACACATGTCTGTTGCCTCCTACCGCTGAGGTCCACTGTCCGAGACAGGTCCTTGATGATATCGCACACGTCCAACAGCTGAAATACCAGTACATATAGGTAATAATGATAGCCGTCTTTGAAGGTCAAGGCTAGCGTCGTCAAGGTTACTGCCGGACTTTCTAAAACGTAACCACGTGAAGGAAGATTAAAATTGCCACTGATGATATTGCCTGTTTGTTGTCATGCTTGAAATGAATTATTGGTGAATTAAGTTTTACTTTTATATTGCTACAGATATACAAATATTGATTTGACTGGTCTGCGTTCTTGACCACCCTACCTTGATGTCACTAAACTGTAAGGATCCTCCACGCTTGTTAACATAGTCGATGAGTATCTGGGCGTGCTCCTTCTCCTCCTTGGATGCCTGGAGGAAGAACTTTTTGAAGCCAGGCAGCGCTACGTCAGCTCTGTCGAAGTACGACGCCTACAGGGAGGAGAACGTTGATGTGTACATGTTTTACGTGGTTATGGTAGATGGCAGCAATGGGTACGTTTATTACCACTTTGCAGCAACGCAACGTGTATGTATTACTTAAGCCAGTAACATTTTCACGAATTTTACTTACGTTGCTATGTTATACGACTTAAGCTGCTACTACAACTACGACGACTACTACTACTGCTACTACTACTACTACTACTACTACTGAAACCTACAACCAGCACCTCCACTGGGACGGAGGTTAGCCTAGTGGTTAAAGCGTTCACTCGTCTCGACAAAGCCCCGGGTTCGATTCCCAACATGGGTACAACGTTTGAAGCCCATTTCTGGTGTCCCTCGCCGTGAAATTGCAGGAATATTGCTAAAAGCGGCGTAAAACATCACTCATTCACTACTACTAAAACCTACCCGCAACACCCCCACAAGTAAGTGGGACAGAGGGTAACCCAGTAGTTAAAGTGTTCGCTCGTCACGCCGAAGACCCGGGTTCGATTCTCCACATGGGTACAATGTGTGAAGTAAGTAGGTAAGCCTGTCAACTCAACCTCGGCATCTACTACACACCCGTATGTTAGATCTAAACATGTCTGATGTCTGTTTACATACATTCATACTTCAAACACTTTGACCACTTTTCGTCTTTGACAACAGTTGCAGCCTCTACCGTCTTTGCGACAACATCCTGTTTGCAGCGTCTACCCCGACAACACCCTGTTTGCAGCCTCTACCCCTACACACTCACATAGGCCTGGTAGAGATAACTGGCCTGCAGCTCCATGGTGATCTGGGCGCGGATCTGGTTGTTGATCTTGTCCGCATACTGCTGCTTCACCAGGGGGACGTAGCCTGCAATATGCAACGTCAACATCATCGACAACATCATCAGCAACAGCACTATCCACATCAAATCATCGTAGACATCAACAACTGAGACGCCACCAAAGAAATCACCAAGAACGTCATTAACGTCAACATCAACAACGTCAGCAACTTCAACAACAGTGATGTACGATGTAAGAGCATGGTGTAGGGATGTCACGGGGACGGGGAACACATTAACCAGGGGTCAAATGTAGAGAGAACCTGAATTAAAACAATGTAATATTTAATTTAACATTCATTATCCACCAAGCGGTGTATATATGTATTTCTTTAATCCCGATGTTAGGAGCATGTGTATTGTTTATCTGGGATTCTGTATGTATGTGTATATTTTACCCGGGATATTGTGTGTATAAGTGCATGTTTATCTGGGATTTTGTCTATATGCATGTTTGATCCGGGATGATGTATGCATGTTCAATTTTTTATTTGGGAAGTCGTATGTATATGCATTTCCATCATTGGTGTTGTGAATGAGTGCATTTATTTTATCCATGGGGCTGTCTTTACATGCATGTTTTTAATCCGGGATATTGTGTCTGTATGCCTTTTGCCACCGAGGTGTTGTGTGTAGGTGCATTTTTCAATTCCGGGTGTTTAGAATATGTATATTTTTTTTATCCAGGATGTTGTGTGAATGTACATATTTGTTATCTAGGATGTAGTCCATCATGTTCTGTGTATATTAGTCTCTCGAACAGACCCTGAAGCAAATATATCCAAGAAAGCCCACACAAGTCTAGAAAATGTGGCAAGTCTAGATTTCCACAGCTTCTGAAAATGAAGAAAGTCTCAGGGCTCCTTTTCATTATATATTTTTTTTTTACTATGAACTTTTTTTTCAGTAAAATATGTTCATTTCAGAGACTTGATGTTAGTCTATGTGTATATGTGTCCGACAGCAAACAAACAACGCAATACCGTGGCGATGACGTGTGGTATCTCGCCTTCAGCAAGGATAACGCGCAGTTCTGATATCAGTACCTACGTGGGGTCAGGTAATGCCGTATAATCAGATGACACTTAACTCTACATTAGGTTGGGTCTTGGGTTGTTGTTTTTTTAAATTGTGGGCTTTTATATGGTATAGTATAGTGTAAACGTTGAATAATAGTGGCAAACATTTTTTGAGTATTGAAAAATATATCCATATTTAAGTATCATTTGTATGAGAGTTATTTAGCATAAAGGGATTTCTGAGAATGGAAGTTATCAATCATGAAAATATTAATACAAACATAATGAAGAACCACTTATTAAAAGACTGCACATTGCAAAGTAATATCGCAGAAAAAACGTGTCAGCTGTAAACCCTGATCAGGAATTTCTCGCAGCGACTGAAATCGAAATATTTGACTTCATGAACCTTTCAGGAAATATGAAATAGATAGAACAAAACGGTGATCTATACAATCATCTGTATAACTCATATGTAAAAGGCTGTCGAGCACAATAGAGTGTCCCCTTGAAAAGATTGGACCCTCAAAACGAGGAATACATTAGGCAGAAAAACGGACTGCAAAACTGCGAACTCCAGGTCCAAAACTATGATGCCGTATGAACTTACGCCATGATCGAATAACCATTTTAGCCACTGGTACACAAAAAGTACACAATCATATACTCACTGTTTCTTTTGCTCGGTAATTATACGGTAATTGTTAAAGAAATCCTTCTTTCGATTAAATGAAATGAATATTTGTCCAGGTATCTTGTCAATGACGGGATGGTTTACATAACGGATTCAAAAGGAACGTAACCAGCTAGTGATAGACAGTTTATTCAATATTAACGTACAACAAAATTAACTTGTCCAATATACATAGACATTACAAGGACGAATTTCAAAGGAAATGCTACCTATATATGGTAAAAGTTTCGCAAGTATCACTTGTCTGAGGATTAATCAATTATACGATTTCAAAGCTTTAAAATGTTCATTTCATGAACAAGAAACTCTTACCATCGTCTGCGCAACGAGACAGGCACGAGTGGAAGAGAACCACCGCTACTACAGTGAGGACGCGCATCTTTGCAGTAAATGGATGGAAGGAAAGAGCTCTCCCTGTCTCACGCCGAAGTTGGGCTGCTGTTATGCGATAACAAGTGGACTTTGTTTAGCTTATCATGAGTACAAGCTTTGCTTGATCACTATTCAGAACATAGGTGGTAGATAATATATAAGTACTATAACTAGGCACATACAACCAATAAGTGTGCACAGTGACGTTTCACCTGATTATGTTATCTGCGTTGAGTGACCATTATATATCCAGGGTTAATAAGCGAGGTGCTGTAATCAGTTTAGAGTGAGTGCAGTGTTATAAAGACAAAGATAGAACAGCATTTTCTACCTCAAAGTCTAATATGCTTGCTGTATTTCTTCAGATAGAAATACGCAGGAATCATGATATACCATGGACAAAAGTAACTGCGATCATGTTCTTATTTTTATTCTTATTTTTGTAGAAGCTCTTAAAGCAATACTCCTGTTTTTTGTTGAAGACTGAATGTGATTCTTTTCTCTCCGGAAAAAGCATCCATGGTCGAAAGTGAAAAGCGATTGAGGTGTGAATTTCAAATGTTCTTACAATGAAATGTTCTTACAGTGGCTGGTCTGATCTGGCTTTTTGTTGGGTATAAGGCCTCAACGTTCATATCGTAATAATTTGTATTAATATCAATAGATTCATTATATCCCAGTTTCCATAAAACAGACGAGACACTATATTGAATAACCTATAGTAAAGCATGATTAATGCAAGAACAAGGGAAGTTACTCTGTCTTCGTGTAACTATAGTTACATTTGCCTTCAGTGTAGGACATTGTTTTTCCAATTTACTGATTTACTAGCATTCAACGTGACGAGTGTAACTTCGAGTGTACTTTATTTTTCTCTGATTAAGGTGGTTATATTTATTATAAATTTAAAGTACCTCGGGGGATATGATCAGACCTCTTCTTAGTCATATTCCAGCTATATCACAGTAGGGATTTGACTTTACACATTTTACCCATTTGGAGATTCGAACCGGTGCTTTCGAAGTCACGAGCAAAGCACCTACGAAAATATGACGGTTGCGGTTACGTCCCTTAGTTCGTAAAGCATTCGGAACACTTCGGACAAATACGTTGAGCCAACTGAGTCGAGATAGTAAGCACGCTGATCGAGTTCCAATTGGTACAAATGCCGTATATATCATTAACAAAAAATATATTTAGCTATAGAATAATTAACGAAATGTTTAGATATCTGTTTTGATATCGATCCGTAAACCCTATATTTTTATTTGATAGTTTTATACCAAATAAACGTATAATTGTACTAAAGTTTGATGTTAATCTAGATGTCGTAAGCGATGTATTTATAATTTGCCGCCATTTGTTGGGGTTTGCTTTTGTTGCAAATGCCGAATGTACATAATCTAAAACGCAAACGGTAGATGATCGACGATGTATATTAAACAGGTAAAGTAATATGCATTTTCTATGTTTGTTGAGCTGTCATTTTTCTAAGTTTTGACATGCATCGCAAGCGCCGATCAATCCCAAATGCATACACAACCTGACAAACGAAATGTTGTCTTTCGTATGATTAGTCTTTTGTTTGATGTTAAATATAACATAGGTAAATGCGATCTGTTCTTTTTTTAAATTCTATCTACAACCACTCACTGAGGAGACACCACTGAAATAGTGCAACGGTTTCATAATGTTCAAAAAATCATTTAAAACTATAATGCACATCGAAATTCATTTAGTTTTAAGGTCAGCCAGACGTCAGGCACAATTCTGTTTGTTAGTTTGGGTCGAATGTTTTATTGGAAACATGTTTGGAGGAAACTATATTGTTGCCTACCTCCGGAATGAATTTTCTCATCCGATTTTTGATATGTTGAATAAAAATACAAACATCTTCACTTTCATTGCAAAATAGGCCCAACTGTGTTGACATTTTGTCTTTCAGCTTGTCATCCAAGGGTTCCGAAGTTACCGGGACCAGACAGTTGTGGAACCATTTCATCCAAAACACAATGTTATTGGTGAGATTTGATCTTGTGTTTTCAGTATGTTCTGTGAAAAGTGAAGTTACTTCTTAATCTAATAATGAAATGCATGATGAACTTTTTTTGTGCATGTTCGAGAAAATGATCTTAGTGATTATAGTCATTTTAATGAAACGTATTTTTGCTTTCAGTTGGAAGAAATGGATCTGGGAAAAGTAATTTCTTTTATGGTAAGACATTTGTCACTTTTTTAATGGTATTAGTATGAAAAAAATTGTTATTTGGATCGGTTTTCTCCAATTAGAACAATGTGCAGACAATTTCTATCCTTTGAGTCTGACAAGATTTATTCAGTAATTCCCACCACTCCTCCAGTAAAAATATGCATATATATTGAGTGTGTAGTTGAGAAATCACCCAGCTTTTTAATGGCTGCAGTCCTTGGCATAACTGCACCAAACAATCAGATGCAAGTATTGATGTACAGTAAGCAAACATGGCAGGGCCTTGAGGAAGAGCAAAGTCTCAAATTGTTTTATGTTATGACAGTCAAATTCACAATGCTGATGTGTCTTAGATAATGAGTGAGTAAGTTCGGTTTTACGCCGCTTTTAGCAATATTTCAGCAATATCACGGCGGGGGACACATTGTACCCATGTGGGGAATCGAACCTCAGCGTGACGAGTGAACGCCCTGGCCAATACGCTACCTCACCACCCTTCTTAGATAATGATGTCACTTCTAGTAACTTAGTTTGGTTGGTTCGGCTTAACATCGCACTCAGTAATATTCCAGCTATATATGGTAGCGGTCTGTATATGACCAGGCGGTCCAGTGATCAGCAGCGCCATTGCGATACAATGACATGTGTCAACCAAGTCAGTGAGCCTAACCACCTGATCCCGTTAGTCTCCTTTTACGACAAGCATGGGTTGTTGAAGATCAATTCTAACCCAGATCTTCATGCAGTAGCAGTACTATCTGTGTTGTATGCAGGTTTTAAAAAAATACATCAGTACTTATCAAAGCCTATGCGAAACCTTGCATTGCTGCAGAAGTATAGTATCGGAGGCCATGTTAAACACTCCAGTGATGCACAAGTATCAGAGTTTTACGCCGCATTTAGCAATATTCCAGCAATATCACGGCGGGGGACACCAGAAATGGGCTTCACACATTGTGCCCATGTGGGGATTCGAACCCGGGTGTTCGGCGTGACGAGCGAACGCTTTAACCACCAGGCTACTCCACCGCCCGTCCACGTCATATGAAGAAATGGTATGACAATAACTCAAAATAATTCACTATTTCCAGCCATCCAGTTTGTGTTGTCTGATGAGTTCAGTCACATGCGTCCGGAGCAGCGCCAGGCATTGCTTCATGAGGGTACCGGACCCAGGGTCATCACTGCCTTCGTCGAGATCATCTTTGACAACTCCGACAACCGAATTCCAGTAAGTTAACTGAGACATGACACTCTTGTGTACAACTCTTAGTGTTGTGTTGTCTTTTGTATCAGGTAATCAACTAGTATGTACAATATTCCTTTGTCATTTGACTGGTTTGTTTTGTTGTTAAACACCACAATCTGTTAATAATGTGACCTGGAACAAACAGTGTAGTTATTGACGTCATGAACGCCGCGGGCATAAAGTGACATGCATCAACAGTTAATCTGACCACTCAATCCTGTTAGTTGAATCTTATGACAGGCATTGGTTGCTGAAGACCACTCATCCACCTGGGTCTTTTCTGGTTGTGTCATTGTTGTATGAAGCTTAATTGTAACAAAACATTGTCACCAATTTGTTTGTGTGGTCTAGTTTGGTTTGCAAATCACTGTATTGCATGTTCATTTCAGATTGACAAGGATGAAGTTGTATTGAGGAGAGTCATCGGCTCTAAGAAGGATCAGTATTTTCTTGACAAGAAAATGGTCACGTAAGTTCAGCAAGAAAAACGTTTTCAAAACCACCAGTTATTGCTAATAATGGACTAATAGGTGATTTTGCCTATGAAATTTACATATGACTTAATTTATTCCATTGTGAACAAAATACATTAAAGGTCAGCTGTGATGAATTATTTGATTGATGTTACATGGCAGTGATGATGTTGCAGTAAGACAGATGTGATGAACCTACTGGAGAGTGCTGGTTTCTCCCGAAGTAACCCTTACTACATCGTCAAACAGGGAAAGGTGAGATACAGGTGACAGTTTGGATGTGGAGGAACATTCATGTGACTTGTAGTTTCTATGTGTGTTTTTTAGTCTGATTTCATTTGTAAATTCTTCCTAGCTATTCTTAGTAAAGGCGTTTTGCATATTTTAAATTTCAACAAATGGAATATGATGAAAATCCCTTTTTGTATCAGACCAAGTGCCGAATTTTATAATACCACTTGCTTTCAGCTTAGTCAATAATTAAGTTGCGTTCACAAAAGCAGCTAATTTCAGCATCAGGATTAGATATGATCATTAATCTGAAGACATGTGAAATTACCCCCCACCCATTCCGTGACCTTAACTCCCTGTCTGTGACAGCTGTTTAATGGGCTTGTTGAATTTTTGACTCATGGTGACACTTCTTTCCCTACCACCAGCCCTACATGTTAGAGGAGCCATGAGCATGTCTCCTACTGAGATCACTGCTTAACTTTAACTGTGACGTGTTATGGTTCTCACCAGTGACCTAGATTATGTCATGTTTCAGATCAACCAGATGGCAACCGCCCCAGATTCACAGCGTCTCAAACTGCTGAGAGAAGTAGCAGGGACCAAGGTTTATGATGAAAGGAAAGAAGAAAGTAAAATTATTCTCAGAGAAACAGGTGAATAAAATTAGATTGTTGTGTTTGAAATGTTTCTGCATTTGAGGAGGTAGGATTTCAGTCAGCCTTGATGATGATCTAGGATTATGATAACAACATCATCACACAATGACTGAATGTCTGTCTCATTGTAGTAATGTAATGACAAGCATGGACTGCTGAAGATCAGTTCTAACTGGTGAAGATCAGTTGGTTGTTTCTGTGAGGACCTATCACAACGATATGTTCATGTGTTGTCAGAGGAAAGCGTGAGAAGTTCTAACCTGGATCTTGACAGGTTGAGTGATAGGTTGGTAGTTTCTGTGGGGATGTTTCTAGCACTATGTCAAGCACTATGTTCATGTGTTGTCAGAGGGAAAGCGTGAGAAGATCAACGACCTGCTGAAGTACATCGAGGAGAGGCTGGATACCCTGGAGTCTGAGAAGGAGGAGTTGAAAGAGTACCAGAAGTGGGACAAGATGAGGAGGTATGACATCCCTCTTTAGTTGTACCGTGTTAATCCAGTAACCCCTCCCATGTACTTACTACAGGGAATGTTTACATACATGCACTGAACATTGATTAACTATGATTTGTATATCTGGAAGTTTGTTAATATGGGTGAGGGTTTTGGGGGTAGCCTGATTGTTAAAGCGTCCACTTGTCACGCTGAGGATCTGGTTTCGATTCCCCACATGGGTACAATGTGTGAACCCATTTCTCGTGTGCCCCGCCATGATATTGATCTAATATTGCTAAAACTTGCATAAAACCATACTCACTCACTGATATGGGTGAGTTTATGTTAGTATAAACAAGCGCACACACATCCATGTTGCTCTGTGAATATAAGTATCTTGAATGCAATATTAAACCATATTTTACCTGTGGGGGATGTATTAATATTTTAGGTGTTGCTTTAGTGATTAGTGATATAAATGTTCTTCTGTTTTGTTGTCAGATCTCTTGAATACACCATCCATGACCATGAGTTGAGAGACACAAGGAAAAAACTGGATGAAGTAAGTTGAAGTGCGGCATACTGACAATTTTTGTCATGCATCGAGCTGTGGTTTCATGCTTAATTGTTATGCATAATTGAGTAGTGAATACACACCGTATGTGCTGGTAATGATGATTAATGGTAACTTGTAAGTAAAAAGCAATAGAATTAGTGCATTTACAAGCTGAACACATCAGGTCGGTCAAACTCAGTAATATACCAGCAAAATGTTGGGGATTTTAAATTATTGATTCGGGAATAGGAAATCAAGAGCATTATTATATTCAACTGGGATATAACTTCATGCATCAACCAAGTCAGAGCCCGACCCCTTATCAAATTGATGGCTTCTTCTGATAAGTATAGTCACCTCGCACATTAAGCCAGTCATGGTTTGCCGAAGACACATTCTTACCTAGATTTTCAAAAGTGTGACCCATGAAGATCTGGATTAGAATTGTTTTTCAACAACCCATGCTTGTCGTAAGAGGTGACTAACGGGATAGGGTGGTCAGACTTGCTGACTTGGTTGACACGTTATTGAATCTCAGTTGTGTAGATTGATGCTCATGATGCTGATCACAGCATTGCCTGGTCCAGACTAGATTATCTACAGACCGCTGGAATATTGCTTAGTGTTGTTAAACAAACAAGCAATGCACTAAGGGTGTAGTCCATTGTACAGTGTCCTTCATGTGTCATAATAATACAGTCTGTGTCAGACTGCTAGTGGGCTAAACTGTAGGAGTTTTCTCCCTTTATTTCAGCTACAAGAGAAGCGTGACAACAGTGGTCAGATGAGTCAGAAGCTTCGGGATAGTCAGCAACAAGCAACAGACAAAGTCAAGGTAAGTATTCCACCGTTAGTAGCATAAAAGTGTTCAAATAAAAGATGAAAGTCTGTTTCATGACCCTGGGGTCGATGGGTTTAGGTATTGTAGCAATAGATGCCAAGGACTCAGGGCTTATTATCTAATGTTGAAAGTACTATGAACCATTTGTTTGCTTGCACCAAACCTGACCACACTTCTCTGTAATGCTACCAAGATACAGCTGAGTTACTGTTTGTTGTTGGATGAAACTCATTTCACCCATAGGGGGCGGTGGGGTAGCCTAGTGGTTAAAGCCTTGGCTCGTCACGCCGAAGACCCGGGTTCGAATCCCCACATGGGTACAATGTTTGAAGCCCATTTCTGGTGTCCCCTGCCGTGATGTTGCTGGAATATTGCTAAAAGCGGCGTAAAACCAAACTCAGTCAGTCAGTCAGTCATTTCACCCATACCAGCTAATACAAACACATATCTGTGTTCAGTCCATCAACCGAGACCTGAAGGACCTGAAGAGTCGGATGCAGACCATCTTGGATGAGAAGGACACAATGGTGAGCGAGAACCAGGACCTCACAAAGAAGAAGGCCAAGCTGGAGCTGAACATCAAGGACATTGTGGATGAGATGGAGGGCAACACAAGTGCCAGGGTAAGGTGCAGGAGAGTTACCTCCCCTGAATGATGGAACAGTGTCAGATTCTGAGATCAGTTGCTTAGTATTGTCAGATTGTCTCTACTTATCATTTATGTAAAGATTTTTAAGTAAGTTGTCAAGAAATCGTTGTAAATATTCCAGATGGTAAATGTTAGTAATGTACATATTTTTAAACTTATCCTATCTCACGGTATGCACTTCTCTCTCTTGATTCGACACTGAGTGGAACGATGTAAACCTTTTTTTCCATTGGCCTCTCTTGTCCATCCGCCCAAGCACTCCATGCTACCCTCATTATCATGCAAAGCATGCGGCATCCACCACTAGCTACCCACGTGACTATCTCTGAATCATTATTCTCTTTCTTGTCGCACTTGAGTGTGAACGTGTTTTGCTTTGCTCAGTGTTTTCAACTTAGTTTACAACATGGGGAAAGCTGACCAGCCATAAAAGAGCAACAATGCTCCCAGTGTAATAAAGTGTTCTCCACGAGTGTTCCACATGCGTATTGTGTTGACTGTGTGGGACAGTGTAAATGTGTAAATGCAAGGATCTTACCTTCGAGGCGTTTGGTGACTACACTCCGGCTTGCTCTTGTCGTGTTGCTGACAGAGCTCGTTATGCCGCTTCACTTGACGGACCCAGTCCCTCCAAGAAAGGGAATTCTTTTTCAGAAGAAGTCCTCCTTGGGGTACTTATAGGCATTAAAATGTCCATTTTGAAACCTACGACAGTTGTAACTATATTTCAATAAAAATATTTACAAAACGAAAAAACACGCTCTGGGCGCTATGAGACCATTCCCTTACAGGGCCTATTCCCAGCTGGCCCCCACCGCAAGAGCAGGTAACTCTAGCCGACAACCTCGCGACCTCACTTTTCATGCTGTCGCCTCAGAAGACAGACGGCGTAGTTCATTGTGAAAAGGAAATCAAAATGAGTGTTACAGAATCAACTAATGTATGTATGGTTCCTCTTTTCTCTCGCACGGCTTTAGTGGAATTGTAGGTTGATTTTTTCATTCATGATTGTTGTAACTTAGTCGGACAGGCTCCATTTTCCAGCCATGCTGCAGGCAAGATGGCGGTCGGTTTGGCTTCCTTCTGTCCTACGGTTGTAACTTTTGCAGTTACATCGCTTAGGGGAGGGTAATTTCTTATTATTACTATGGTAGGTTTGCCTAACGCTTACACTTTCAGCAAAAGGTGAGTTGGGGTAAGTTTTTTCATATAACATTTACGCTTATATATGTTACGCGAGGAAGCTTGCATTTTCACCCTTGTTCATGATATGTTAAAGGGTAAACCTGCCTTAGCTTTTCACATAGGGTTTATCGCCCGTATGTATTATATTTTACGGTGTTGCATATATGTGTGTTTTTAGACTGTACATCAGTTTCCATGATAAATGGTTCTGTTTGTTACAGTTTCACCCGCGGCGCGGCATGTGCGCAATGTTGCCACCTCAGGATTCGCGACGATGTGTGCCTACGTTGTTTGGCTGTTGAACATCATGATGATCAATCGCGGTGAGAACTGCCAGATTTTCACCAAAGACGACGGCGAAGCCGCCGCTCCGCAGACTTTTGTTTTATACAAATCTGCTGCAGGCGGGGGACTTATGGGCACAGGACCCACCATCTAAAGTGGCTAAAAGCAAGAAGAGTTCTTCTTCTTCTAGTGGGGTGGGGGGGTGCGGCCAAGACGGCGGTTAAACCTTCTTCCCCTATCCCTCCACTTCCACCACTCAATCAGAATCTGCACCCGTATGTATTAATGATTTAACATCCATATTGCAGCAACAGATGACTTCGGTTCGCCGCTGATCTCGACGCCGATGTCCGGTCTCCGTGGAGGAGATCGCTTCCGCTCGAGTTGGCGGTGCTCAGAGGTCGCCTGTCGGGGTTCCTGCCTCGGCCCGTCCGGGACGGTTCTACCCCTGAGGGGGTCGCTACCTTGAGCCTTGGCTCTGGTGACCCTCTGCTGGTGCGCCTGTGGCTGGCCCGAAGCCGGCCGCTCAGCGCAGAGTACTAGCGTGTTGGATACGGGTCTGCATCGCTTGCTACCAACTCACAAGCGGGTTTCCCCGAAATGCCGGTGCTACCGGCCTACTCGGCCTTACGCTCCTTCGGGAATCCTGTCTCGCAGGCTCTTCCTGGGTCCTCGGCAACCTGGCTCAACCTCGAGCCTAGGGTCGGTCGGGCCAGGCGCCTTTGGCTCTTATGGCTCTCTATCTTTGTTCTGTGGAACCGACTTCCGCGGTTCTCGGAGGCTTACTCTGATACCGAGAGTTCGCTGCCGGGGAGCGGGAGGAGGAAGCCATGGATGACGACACGGGGCATGAGACGCCGGGGAAGGTTCCTTCGCTGAGTCCGCCCCTGCGCAAGTAAGGGAACGATTATGCGCCCTTTTGCCAGCAGGTGGTCGTGGCCGCCAGACGACCCCGACCGCTGGAGTTTCGGCTCTCCGGGAGGCGCTGTCTTCGCGGTCGGTCGCCGAGGCCCACTTATGGCGATTTTTTACCGCCACTGATCAGTGAGGTTATTAACCCTCTCCTTCTCAGGAGGCCGGTCACGCCGATCTTCCTGAGCTGAACCGGCGCTTACCTGATGGGAGAGAGGGCGCTTTTACGACCCCTGGTGGTAGACGAAAGTGTATTTATGCCTCAGTCGCCTCTGGAGGGTCATCTGGCCATAGCCACGCCGTCGGCTCGTCAGGGTCGGCGTCGCTTCCCTTTACTTCTAACAACCAGGTGTTGAAGTCGGTCTCATCGCCTTTGAGGAACAATACCGTAACGCCGCTCAACACCTTAAGTTTCAGTCCACTCAGCATACCTCTCGCCCTGCAGAGGAAGCTGGTGGACAGGAGGGCGGGACGACGACGGTCGCCGCCCACGCGCATGGTGAGCTTCACGGAGGTGCATTCACATCTGGCACGCCGACGCCATTCGTCGTCGGCTAGGCCAGATGATGTGTCCGCGTCATGGGCCTCCGCCGGTTGTGGCTGTCTGTGGCCAGATACTCACCGCTACACAGCAGGCGCTATTGTTTGCCGCTCAGGATGGGTTCAACCCTGTTCTCGGGGCATTGACAGTGGTCAGGGAGGCCGCTGAGGCGTTAGCCAGTTTAAGGACTCTAAGCCCTTACTGGAACAACCCCTCACTGCTCGCTACCGCCTTCCGGCCCTGTGCTTCAGCTTACCCTTCCTCTTCAGGAAAGGAAAGAAGCCGGGTGGACGGGCTCCACTTCAGGCACGTAGAGGGCAAGGGCAAGGGTAGAGGTAGGGGCAAGGCTGCCGCCTCTCAGCAGCATTTTCAGAGGAAGGGGAAGTCAGCCCCGCTTTTCCAGTAAGCATTCCTCCGAGCCCTTGTTGGTCCCGCACAAGCAGTTGTTACACCGCCGACTGCCGGATTCACTCGTCTCTTACCCGACGCCCCTGTAGGCGTCGGCTACCTCTTCCTTCGAATGGGAGAAAGCCACATCAAATCCCTGGGTCCTGTCCACACTCAGGGATGGGCATATGCCACAGTGGTAGCGCAGGCCCTCCTCCTTTCTCCGGGATTCGCTGCGCGCCAGTGCCGAACTCTCAGGAAAAGGCCGATGTTCTCCTCGTGCGAGGTCCAGGCGCTGCTGGACAAGCGCAGCCATCCCGAGGTGGTTCCGAGGGGCCAGGAAAATTTAGGGTTTACTCAACCTATTTCCTGGTTACCAAGAAGGATCGGAGGGTTCAGACCCATTCTCAATTTAAAGGGTCTGAACAGTTTGCTAGAGGTACCGTCCTTCAAGATGGAGACACTACGGTCGGTGATCTCATCTGTGGAGGCAGGGATTGGCTTACGCCAATCGACCTCAAGGACGCTGCATCTTCATGTACCCATGCACTCCCCGAAGTTCAGGAAATACCTCGGTTTTCCTTGACGGAGGAGTGCTATCAGTTTAAGTGTGCTCCCCTTCGGCATCTCCACGCGGCCAAGGGTGTTCACAAAACCATGCTAGTGTTAGCTCAAGTCGCCAGGGCACAGGGCAACTTTGTTACCCGTGCATCTGGACGACTGGCTGCTCAGGCGCTTTCCACTCACTTGAGTCGGGAATCCACACAGACAGTGATGGATATTCTCACCAGGTTGGGTTGGGTCATCAACCTCAAGAAATCGAGCTGGTTCCATCCCCAGGATCTGGTTTTCTTGGGGCGAGATTCGAGACACAGCAGGGCTTAGTCTCTGTCTCAGGACCGCATTTCCAAAGTACAACGGGTTGTTGTACAATTCCTTCAGTCCGCCAGGGCCTCAGCACTGCAGCATGGCTTCAGTTGCTAGGCAACATGGCGGCGACGGTGGATGTAGTTTGGCATGCGCCGCCTGAGGATGCGACCAATTCAGCAAGCGTTAGCACAGCTGTGGTCACACTTCGGGGAGTTACGACTATCCTCCTAACTCCAGAGTGGCTTCATCCTCACCTCAGGTGGTGGACCCGACACCGGAATCTAGTCAGGGTATCCCTCTGGAGACCCGGTGCCCTACGCTCCGCGATTCAGACGGGGGCTTACTCCCTCACAGGTGGGGGGTCCTAGGGACTCACAGCTTCCGGACTTTGGTCCGTGAACGAAGCGACCTTACACATCAGCGTCAACGTTAGAATTGAGAGCGGTCCGACGGGTATTCGAGCGCCTTCATGGAACAGGTTCGAACCGTGGTTGCCTAGAAATGGACAATCAAACGGCGATGTCCCTATATATCCTGAAGCAGGGCGGTACGGTGTCTCCGTCACTCCTCCAGGAGGCGTGGCAGTTCTGCTGTGGTGCGACGGTTCAACACACGGGTATTACCTGTGTATCTCCCGGGGGAGGACAACGTACGTGCAGATGCACTCTCACGTCGTATCCTGGCCCCTCACGAGTGGTTACTCGACCGGGAGATATTCGGGGCTATCTCCCAGTTGTTCGGGTCGTTCCAGGTGGATCTGTTTGCCCCTGGGGTGACGAACCAGACTCCGGTGT